AAAATGGAAGAATTTATAGAGCTGGGGATCAGATAAAAAAGTTTCTCTTATCCTTATTATTTTGAAATGGATAATATAAATGACTATGATTAAAGGAAAGAAACTTCCACTTTTAGCTAATTTTATATCCCCTTCATCCCAAATATTTTTTCTCGGTTCTCATTTTGATTTTTTTTCCTCAAATGGTTGACATTACATAATTATACATGTACGTAGTGATTAACTAGGAATAAAAAAGGAAATTAGCACCAATTAACCACTCACATCACAATTTTTGTTCGAAGTTGAAATTTATATCTTCCTTCCCTCGTTATCTCTTTGTTCAAAAATGTACAAACACATTCATAATGTGGCTCAACTGTTGTTGAGTAATTAGCCGCCATGATTGCCTAGATTGGACATGAATTTAGAGTTTTTAGATTAATTAAGGCTTCAAATTCTAAGGTAAGTAAAGAAAAAAAATCGAAGTATCAAACATGGGAAATAATCGATAAGTTGAGCCATTATTTTCCTTAGATTTGTAATTTTCTTTCATTTTTTGGATTTTGGAAATTTGAGATTAAAATTTACTCACACTTAATTTTTTTAGATTTAGGAAATTTGGCGTTAAAATTTACTCCCACTTACTTTACCTTAACTTTAAAATTATGAATAATCTTCTTTCCTTTGTCTGCAATAGTTTTGTTTATACTAGTTACTAGTATTATTTCTGACCGTTGCTCGGAATGAATGTAAATCTATCAAAACGTATGTGTTTTTGTGGGAATAGGAAACAGAAATGAAAAAGAATGAATTTATGATCGATTATGAAGGGTTTTGTGGTACATCATATAGTTATTTGAATTCAATATTTCGCATCAGAAAATCATTCACCACATATAATGAAAATAGAATCACTCAAAAAGCTGGAAAATAATATATAAGTATTAAACCCTGAATAAAGAAAAAGGAGTAAACTAATTTAAAGTTATGATTCGTATTACAAATTAACCTTTCTTTAGTGCTCATTTCAGGTTAATGGATATCGAATGAAATGGTCTTGCTTGATCTAGTCCCAAAAAGGCTGTCTGAATTCTTGAAATCATGCACACGATATTCTCCTCCTTTCTGCCTGAAATTATTAACATATAACGAAAAGCTAGTTCCATTTCTCTTATAAAAACTAGCTAGTTCCAATTCTCCCAAATAAAAAACCAAAGTTTTATTTCTCTTATAACGAAAATGGTAAATCTAAATACATTAAATAATCGTTCAATTAACATAGATGGAAAATAGCAATCATTTTGGGTTTTGAAATATTACTCCATTATTTATGAACCACTAGTGTGACATATGAATGCAATAATTATAATTTCAAGCACACATACATTTCTACCTCTTCAACACTACTTTTATACATGTTTCCATAAGCTAAAGGGTGCTCTTTCAAACCACATTTTCGGTGGCTCAGCAAAAAGTGATGGTGTAATCAGCTCTACTACAAGTAAAAGTACTGGTTGCATCATCATAAGGATAGCTATAAGCCTTGGGACAAGCAGCTTTAAACACTTGAGAATAGTTGGTTGGCTTGCATATGTTTGGATTGTTGTACTCTTCGGAACAACAATATTCCGACTTGTTGAATGCTATGCAGGAGCTCTTGCATCCAATTACTGCGCCGTTGGATTCAAGTTGTAGTTCTTTCGGACAGATTTTGTTCAAATCCGAGGTGCATTTTACCTCAGTACAGTTGTTTATAGAAGGGGTTATTGAGATTTGAACGTTGTATCCATCCACTAGGCTAATGTCGTAGAAATCTACGGGGCTATCTAGAGTGAATTCCGCCAGGGAAGCAGGGGGCGCACCACCTGCGCCGTTACATTGTAAGACGCCGCCACAATCTCCGGTGGCGCAACTTCCTTTGCCGGATTCATCAAATGTGCATCCGGCTCGGCCCCAGAATCGGCCGGACCATGCAGCCGGTGCATCCACTGGGACGGCTTCGTTAGAATTTAACTCTAATCCACCATTCATTTGCAAAGGTTTCCCTGACCCGGATAAAGTCCCGGCTCATATGGTATTTTGGCAGTTGTTTTGCAATGTGAAACGAGCTGATTCTACACCTGTGATAAAGATCACAAATTATAAGGCAATAAAATAAGAAGTCCATTCAAATGAAACAAAAAAAAAAAAAAAAAAAACCCCAGTTGTCGATCAAATTGATCAAAGTACGTACCTAACGAACATGAGAAAAGGAAGAGCAAGGAAAAATGCCACAAATGCCATGATTGCTGTTGTGGTTGAAAATGGTGATATGTCTACAAATTATCCTTATAGTTTAAATCGAAAGGAACGAATGGGTTAGATGGAGAGCAATTGATAGTATTTATAAAGCTCACAAGCTGAAGAGGATGTAAAAGATGGTAGTAAAACTTTTCAATCTTATCCCAATATTTTAGAAATGAATAATGAATGATAATATTGACTATCAAGAACAAAAAAGAACCAACATCTTCCAGTTGTCATTATTGCTTTTTTTTTTTTTTGGCAATTGTTAGGATTGCATATCTAACTTTTGATAGTTACCATTCTAGTAAAAACATATTTCTTCCTTCATTATCACTCATTGCTCAAAAATGTACCAAACACAAGCTTGGTAAGGTTGGTTCCCTATTTGTATTGTTTAGGCCCCAGGGGGTTCCCTAGCTAGACAGGGCTTGCGTAATTTTGCGAAATTGGACATGAAATTTTTTAAGTTTACAAATAATTACTGTACTTCATTTTTCTCGGGTACATAACAGAAAAGAAGAAAAAACTAACACAAAACTGCTCTCAACTCTAATCTACAAATTTAAGCAATAAATTTGAAATGATATTGGTCTTCTATCATTTTTAAGTTTCAAGATATTTTTCCTTATATTTGTAATCTTATTTACTTAGTAACACAACAAAATGAAAATTTTTGTAAAAATTATAAAGAAATTTTTTTGGAAGCGAAAGAATGTATTTTTAGGGAAATTTCTCTAGCTCGTTTCTTACCTTTTATTCTCTGGGAAAGGAAAAGGACATCAAACCACAGTTAATATTCCAGATACTGTTTGATATTGATTGTCTGCAAAGGTAATTACTACAATTGAAGAATTTTTTGCTCATTCAAGAATACTCTTTTTCTTCTAAAATCCACCCAATTTGAAGTTGCACATTAATTATAGGATATGGTGTGCTTCCATGACACGGTCCCTTCACCAAATCAATTTTTCTTTTAATTGTTGTACTAACTCGGCTATTTAAATTTGTGTGAACAAGTCATTGTATCAATTAACTGATGTTAGGCCGAGATTTTACTAAAGTTAAATTTATAGGGACAATCTTTATTAAGAGTCTTAGAGGTTTTGAAAATTTTAAAGAGGACCCAAATCTTGTGTAGGCGGTCAAAATATATTTCTAATATTTGATTATATATTGTCAATGAAAATTCAATCTTTTTTCTTAAGTAATAACAATGAAAAACGTAAAACCAGGTCAGGGGATGTCCGTAAATACTGTCCTAGACTCTACTAAAAAAAATAAAATCAGATCAAACTCTTCCATTACGTACTCTCATCATGTCTAATCATTTTCCTTCCATCAAAGCACTACTAGTAATACAACCTTTTCACCCGTTTTTCAGTTTCTCTACATAGAGGGGAAAAAGAAAAAGGAAAACTACAAAAATGATTTATCAAGAATTAAAGGGAAAATTTGGATGAAGGGCGGTGGAGATATCTAAATTAATAGAAGGGGCACAACTCCTCCATAATTTGAGTTAGGGGCAGTAAATGAAGTTACACAAATTTTAATATTAAAACATTTAGACAGTGATGGAATCACCCTTTCTCTTATACAATGACTCTTATGCAATTTAACTAAAATCCATAATCATAGATTCTTGGCTCCAACAGTAACATTGAACATTCAAATCTAATGGTGCAATTTTCTCAATCTCAGATTTCATCAAATTAAAATATGACTATTTACTTTGTAAATATATTTTCTACATATCAACATTGGATTCATATCACCTTTCCGTCAAAATTTTATAATCAAGCATGAAAAACGCGGGGTCAATATCAAAACCCTAAAATGCACGAATAATCATATTCCAGAAAAGTAAAAATAGTCAAATACATTGCAATCAAAAAAAGGAATTTTGTTCAAATAAAAAAAAAACAAACTACAAGGATGAACAAGAACATATCTTCTAGTGAATCAAGAAAATAAAATTGGATATTTTGTGGAAAATCAATTTATTTTGTAATTTATTCATTAGATTGTTGTGAATGATACTTGTGTGATTTTGCAGAAGATGCTTTAGTATCCAGAAATTTAAGCCAAGAACGAAAGACGAGAGAAAAATGGATTTTTTTGTTTTTTAAATTTTTTTTTATTTAATACAAAATAAGGGCAATTCTGTTAAAGGATAAGTAATTAAATTTTTTAAATTTTAGAAAGTAAATTACTGCCTCGAATACAAATTATGGAAGAATCGCACCTCTTTTATTAATTTAGATCTCTCTACCACCCCTAATCCAAATTTTCGCTTCTAAACTATTCTCTAACCTTAAATACTTAAACTCGGATGAAAAGTTTTAAAAATGAATAGTTTGTGATTATTCCTTGTAAGTATATCCTTGTATTTTTTTACACTGCACAAATCATTATCCTTTAAAAAATATAAATGTTCACAAGGAAGATATCATTCTATCACATGTCTAAGTTAATGTAAATAGACAAATACTAATGTTAAGAATCTCTAGAGCTAGAAAATTTGAAGAAGTTTTATTTTGTCCAAACTATAGAAATTGTTTATCAGGGTTATCAATACAGTTTATTCTTTCCAAATGTTAATTAGTTGACTTATCAGCAGTTTATTCTTTCCAAATGTTAATTAGTTGACTTATCAGGGTTATCAATACAGTTTATTCTTTCCAAATGTTAATTAGTTGACTTTTGGATATAATTAAAAGCAACATTACATTGGTGGAAAACACTAATTATAGAAATTTGCTCCTTTTTTGAAATCGGTAATTATGTGACATTTATAGACAAATACAATAATTGCAATTTCTGGCTTACATAAATTTCTACCGCTTCACATATTTATACATGTTTTCGTAGGCCAAAGGGTGCTATTTCAAATTGGCTCAACAAAAGGTTATGATGTAATTAGCTCCACTGCATGTAAAGGTACTGGTTGCATCATCATAAGGATAGCTATAAGCCTTCGGACAAGCAGTTTTAAACACTTGAGAATAGTCTGTTGGTTTGCATATGTTCGGATTGTTGTACTCTCCCGAGCAACAATATTCCGGCTTGTTAAACGCAAGGCATGCACTCTTACACCCGACCACAACGCTGTTGGATTCGAGTTGTAGTTCTTTCGGACATATTTTGTTCAAATCGGAGGTGCATTTTACCTCTGTACAATTATTTACCGAGGGGGTTATTGAGATTGGAATGTTGTATCCATCCACAAGGCTTACGTCGTAGAAATCTACAGGGCTGTCAAGAGTGAATTCCGCCAAGGAGGCAGGCGGTGCACCACCTGCGCCATTACATTGTAAGACACCACCGCAGTCTCCAGTGGCGCAATTTCCCTTGCCTGATTCATCGAAGGTGCATCCAGTGCGGCCCCAAAATCGGCCGGACCAAGCAGCCGGTGCATCAACTGGGACGGCTTCATTAGAGTTCAGCTGTAATCCACCATTCACTAGCAAGGGTTTCCCTGAGCCAGATAAGGTCCCTGCCCATATTGCATTTTGGCAGTTGTTTTGCAAGGTGAAACGAGCTGATTCTACACCTATTAGAAGAGAATGAATTATAAAGAATAATATTTGAATGCCACATATATGCAACAAGAAATCAAAGAAAACCCAGTTGTGGAATTAATTAAAAAAAAAAAGTTACCTAATATATAGGAGAAAAGAAAGACCAAGGTAAAATGCCACAATGCCATGATTGTTTGTTGATCTCTTGATGATGATGACTACAATGGATGCTTATGGTTTGAAGCGAAAAGCAACATTGAATGAATTAGCTAGGGAGGAAATTGGGAGTATTTATAAAGCTTTCAAGCTGAGAGAATGAGATAAAAAGGAAGTAAAAAAAAAAAAAAACATCAATCTTATCCCAACATTTTTGCAGTGGATAATGAACAAGATAGCATATTTACCTTCAATGGTTGTCGTTCAAGTTAAAAAATATCTTCTTCCTTCATTCTCGGTGTTCAAAAGTATACCAAGCAAGAACTTGGTAAGGTAGTTCCAAGACCGATCCCAACATTCAAGGGAACTAAAGGCGAAATGAAAGAAAAGGGTCCCTAATTTTTTGCGATATTAATAAAATCATGAACACTGGTTATGTATACCCGTGTAGCTAATGACAATCCATTATATATGTTCTGAGGGTAGTGATTCTGCCACAACAAAAATTAACATCATATATGCAAACTTTTTCCTATTTTCCAAAATTAATCACTCCCTGATCTTCTCCTAAATTTTCTCTCCTCATCTTTTTCAATTTTCTTCACGCATACACTCATATCTATTTTCCTCTAAAATTATGAGCCATCACTTCTCCAAAAATTAACTACTAGCAATATGCAGAATTGGAGTAAACAACGAGTGCCTATTATTCCGGTGAGAATTTTCACTCTGTTTAAAGTACATCTTGGCAAGCAAATACAAATCACACAAAAACCAAAAAAAAGGGTGAGGTTTTGTTTCTCCTTAAATTTACTTTCTGTTAATTTAGTATCTCCTATTTTAATTATTTTTATGGGTTAATTGTTTATGGGTTAATTGTTGATTCTTATCCATCAAAATCTTTTCTTTTTTTTTGGTGGAGAAGAATATTTTTTTTATGCCACACCATACTTACAATTATCAAAAGTGATTAATGATTTATAGAGAAAATAATTTACTCCCTCCATTCCATTTCAATAGGCTCACTTCCCCTTTTGGAATGTTTCAAAACTTAGTCCCACTTCATACAATTAATTAACTTTTTCGATAAACTCTCTAATATACCCTTCCCACTTTCACTGAAATCAAGAACATTTAATTAATTTTAACTATTACTCTCTCATATCAACTAATAACTCACTAGTCATTAATAAGGGTGTAGTAGGAATTTTATTTAAAATTAAATACATAAATTATATTGCCCACTTTTTCTTAATTTCCGTATATGTCTAAATGGGTCTATTCAACTGGAATGGAGGGAGTATTAATAATGAAAAATTAGTTGAGGATTCCAATGCCATTGATATGTTGGATTTATCCGAAATGTTTGTTGCTTTTATGGGGAGTTTAATTTTGTAACCCGGTTAAAACTATAATTGTGTGATCACTGGAGTTGATCTAGATATGCATAAATTTTCTAGCAGTTTGGCCGCGAGCTCATTTGATCTCTTGAAGCTATGCTATCGTATGGATATTACCTCAATGTTGAGTGTAACGTTCTGGTGGTTTTGGTTTTAAGAATGAAATTGTGTTGCTTTTTAAATAATCTTTTAAAATGGAGGAAGAAATTTGATAAATTAATTGGAGCATTTTTATTCCTTAAGAAAGAATCCCAATAAGATCACTATATCCTACTATATTAGAAACAAAAACTTCCCTTTCAAACAACTCATATGATTGCCACGTGGCATATAGAAAGTACTAAATTGCCCTTTTATCTAAACCATAACTAAATTACTAAATCTCCTACTATATTAGAAACAAAAACCTTCCTTTCAAACACCTCATATGATTGCCACGTGGCATATAGAAAGTACTAAATTGCCCTTTTATCTAAACCATAACTAAATTACTAAATCTCCCTTTGCACTTTACGTGACACGTTTTTTTTTTAAAAAAATTTTCTTTATGTTTCATTCATTTAGAGTGGTTTTTTAAGTTAAATTGATCAATTAGGTTTTTGTTACAAAGTGTCAATTTTGTTTTAAGCGTATACCCTGCGGATGAAGCTTATTACAAAGCTATTAAAAATTTCCAAAACTAAGTATTGATTTGGCACGACCGAACATCAATAAATCATCTTACTAATATTTAAATTTATTAGGATATTTTTATATTTTATCTAATATTTACTTCAATACATATATTCGATTAAGGCTATTTATATTTAAAAAGTAACACTTATAAAATATTTCTATAACTTACATGGCGAAATACAATTTTTTTTTTTTTTTGTGAAATACAATTATTTCTATGATCACACTTATAAAACATTTCTAAATCCTTCAAACATTTCTAAAATATATCGCTCCAAATACAAAATTTTATTTTTTTCAAATATAACTATTTCTAAGATTTACAGATAGACTGGGCCAGAGTCGCGCGTTGCGCGACCAGACATCACTAGTTTAATGAGGCAGAGATATCAGAAAAAAAGCATTTGACTTTATAAACGGCAACTTTGGAAAATATTAAAAAATTTACTTTGGATAATAAAGCTTGTTGTGGCAGAATCACTAGCCATGTTCTGAAGGGGTGTCAATGTGAATTGGGTCTAGGTCTACAGGTTGGGTTGGACCTGTTTAATTTTTACTCAAACCCGAATCCAACCCATATATTACACAGGTCACATTCTTAAACCGGAACGCGATCGTTTATTTTGCGGTTACTCGGGTCGGATCCGTTTAACCCGAATATTTTTTTTTTTTGCTGGTACCTAGTTAATTTTTTTTTTCGTAAAAGTTATGAAAATTTTTTTGCTGGCACTTAATGTACTACTAAGATGATCACTTAAACATTTTTCCTGACAAGATTTTGAGGTGTAAAATCATTAATAATTGAGTATATATCAATAGTATCAAACATATCACTCTCAATACATAACATTTCTAAATCATTTAACCTTTCTTGTGACATTGATGATCTCAAGTATGTATTCAACAATTTTAATTTTGAGAAATGTCTTTCGTCTGGTGTAAAACGGCTAGCAAATTTAAGGGAGAAATTTAGGGAGAAGCTTATGCTAACTTCAACAATATACACAATATGCTGTTATTATTTCCTTTTTTAAAATATGTATATATATATATATATATATATGCTTTTTGGTAGAGGTGCCTTTATTCAATATTTTCTAAATTTAAGAGTATGTAAATTTAAAACCTTTGGACTGGATTTTCAAAATCTTGGCCCTTTTAATTATTATAATTTTTAAAATAATAATTAAGCTTAACATAATGCTAATAATTATGGAAAAGATTCAACAGCACCATAGATGCGAACACCAGCCTCCATTTGGGACAACTTTTTCATTAAGGGAATCAATAGTAATGTTAGCATGGCCATACCCATGTTATAAAAATCAAATCACTCCCGAATATGACATGATGAATACTTTCAAGCTTTAAGGATTAATAGAACACATTTTTGTGACTGCGAAACAACGAAACTAACTTATGTATGAGTGTATTTGCATAGGGGTACAAGCAACAGTATGTGACATTAAATCAAACTGATTGATACACTATTAAGGATGAAGCCAATAACGTACGTGGACATCCATCATGATCAAAGTGAAGAAGTTCAAGTTCGGCAACTGTTTTAAGTATTTCAAGATCTGCTATCCAACATTAGAGGACCACGATGAGATCCCCACGAGGAGAAAATCGACAAAATGCTCAAGAGTATGATCCTAGCCAAATGTGTTCATGCTCAACTAGAAGCTCAAAGGGTCCATTAGATTGCTTGGTTTTGTGACGACATAAGTCCACAAAATTCATTTGATCACCTTAAGACCAAACTTTTGTCATTGCTCTGGTCAGTAATCCAGTTGCCCCTCAAAAATCTATTGACGAGATCAATCGATGTTTAGTAACAGCGACAAGTTTTTTAGTTCTAAACCGTTATATTTGTTGACGTGCTTTTCTTGGACTTCATATTAGTGACCACATTTGAAGAGATGGTAACCAAAACCTAAGTGACACCTCGAGTGGTGAGGAAGATATAGAGGCTCATGAGTTTCCATTTCAAAACCAATTGGAAATGAGATACTGTAGCCCTACAAGTTCTATCACATAAGGCTTGGAGTCCGACTCTTAGCGGGCTAACTCTGATATCATACAGAAATTCATGGGATTTCACTTCAAAACCAATTGACAATGAGGGGAGTAGCCCATTAACTTATATATTAATATCATGTCTCTCCCACCGCTAATGCGGAATACTCAACAGAATAAGCTGGTACTTTTAGTGAAGAAAGGCTACCATCTGGTATTACACTAAGAAACTAAAAGGCATTTTATTAAGCTTTTTTCTTTTTTTTATTAATTTCTTTGGTTAATGTAGTGGATATACTTGGTAGGAAAGTATAAAGTTTTTCTTGTGTGATAAACTCTTATTAACTAAATCAGATTGTATCGAAAATGAAGCCATGTTACTTCTATCCTAGTGTCATAAAATTTAATCAATTAAATCAAATTGTATCTTTCTTGTAACATGGGAAACTTTATTACACAGTTCATCACATTGAATCAATGTTACCTGATATCCTTTTGTGTTAGTTGGTTTCCATGTCATGTCATAAACTCTGGTTAAAATACATCAAATTGTATTTGACATTGAAATAATTATATCCAATTACCATTGGAATAGTATAACTTACTCTCTTGATTCATGACAATCTTTTTTTGACGTAACTAACTTCTGGAACCCATTTTCATATCATAGGATTGAAAATTCAATAAAAAAACATCATGCAGTTATTTCCTCATTACATTTAATTATTTGATATTTTTGGCAAAACTTTCACCCATTTCCCATATAATGGTGTAAATCTATCAGTTGTATATTTTCTTTTATAGTCCATAATTGTACCACCATTGAATAAACCAATTTAATAAACATATAAACATTTTCACAAACTTTTATAAATCATAATGTTTCTTATTAGGATTTTCATATAAAAATTACCTTATAAAAGTCATCAATATAATCTCAATAATTATATTTGAAAGATATCTTAGATTTTGGAAGTATAAATTTCTTTCCTTTTAATGTAGAAAATGTCCATTTTTCAGCAGATATTATCCGCTTAATGATTATTTTATTAAATTATAGATATTATTTACTCCATCGAAGTAAAAGAGTCTTATCTCATACGAGTTTGAAGCTTTCAATATGCTTCCATAATATGATCTTGACAGTAGTAGCATATGATATTATATTCAAATATCTAGTGACTATAGTTCATGGGTTTTTTTCCCATTGAAGGTCTTTTTTCTTCTAGAGGAAATATATTAATCTTCTTGTGTCTATTAGCTTGATATGAAGTTTCTTTTTCGTTTCAATATTTTGATTATTCATATAATGATTCCTCTTTTTGAAAATCTTATTTCCGGGAATAGGTCCTTTCCTATTAAAAGTCAAAGGTTTACAATGAAGCCAAGTTACTTGGTATCCTAGTGTTATAAAAATTTAATGAATTAAATCAAATTGTATCATTCTAGTAACCGGGGAAACTTTATTAGCCATGTTTCTTGATGTCCTTTCATGTTACTTGGTTTCCATGTCATGCCATAAACTCTGATTAAAATACATCAAATTGTAGTATTTGGCATTGAAATAATTATATCTGGGTCTTAATAGTCTCAATCTGTTACACATGTAACGCAGATAACTTCTAGTATAATTGTATAGATTTTAATACTGAGAATTGAAATAATTCATTAGTGACGGTAGGCCTGGCAAATGGGCGGATTAGGTCGGTGGTGGATTGGGTCAAAATGGATTTGGGGGGAGGCGGGTCAAGACCCAACCCAACCCGTCATAAGCACAGGTAAGGACGGGTTGGGTCAAGACGGATTGGCGCAGGTCGCGGGTCAACTCGCAGGTCAATTGCTAATTTTTAGTCAATTTTTTTATGAAAATTATGAAACTCTTTTTTTTTCTTTAACATGTTTTGACCCGTTGGTCGTTTCAACCCTGCCTAACTCAACTCGTCTATCACATACTCATTCTGATCTACAACACGTTCTGATCAGCAGCCCATTTGACCCAATCCGCACGAGTCAAAACACTACGCGGGTCGCGGGTCAGATTTGCCAGGCTTTTGTGACAGTAACGTGGTATGTAGAAGATTGTAGATTTACTGCTATAAATTAGAAAGTCAACAAGACTGGCTAATTTCCTTCAACAGTAAAGTATGACCATGTTTTGGGTCTCTTCGATGAAGTTGACTATGAAGTATGTGTCATATTTTGACCCGGACAATAAAGTACAGAGTGAGGAGCATCTTGGGAACAAAATGAACGTGAGGCATTAAAAGGTCGGGATAACAATATAAAACGTACACTTGTGGCTAGTATTTTGTTTTATTAACTTTTTCGAACCAAATATGTTTTTTACAAAGCTTATCAGCCAGCAAAATTATTTGAGGAAAATTGATGCTAGTGGTGCATCATTCAGAGATTGAACATGAAGTAGAATGAAGACGTAAAATTAAGGTGAATGATACTCTTTCCATTTCAGGAAAATAATCATTATTGTAAAACTGAATTAACGATTACAACAAACATGTTATTTTTTTGGAACCAAAGAAATATACTAAACAGTGTTTGTCCTCAAAAATACCAGCAGAATCACCTTCCTCTTCCATGTCCAACTTGTCCATCAACTTCTACTGTGAATCCACCACAAAAGGTTTGTAAGTGAATTCCCATCATCGTAACCCTTCAATTTCTTGATCTTCTTCAGAGCACTTCTTCTCTTGTAAACACCTTCCAAAGCAAAGATGAATCCCTTCCACCCTTCTCCAGTATCATTCCTTGACAAAGCTGGCCTGGACCACTTAACTAGCTGTTTTGTATACTTAACATCAGAGAACACAACCTCAGTTATAGGCAACAATGGTAGAACTTGGATCCCAAGCCTACATTCCACCCATTCCGGCGGCGCGAACCAAAGGCGACTTTCCCTCTTGTTTGCCCATAATATACCCACAACTCTGTTCTCTTTGGTAAATTCTTCCCCATACAGAGTATCATCCTTCCTCACATGCCACCAAGCTATTGCAGACTGAATCTCAAAGGCTGTAAGAGTTGATCCAATGTCGACAAGATGATTGTCTCCGTATGCCAACCCCATCAAAGCTGCGGAATAATAACCGTTTATCGCCTCGCTCGTACTTTCCTGATTCCGGCCATCAGGAAATTCTGTCAACCCTGCAGCCCAAGAATGCAACAGCCAGAAATCAAAACACCTCACTTTAGGGTAACTTGAATTTGCTGCTTTGTTGCTTGAAGTCATAAAATCTGTCACCAGTGAGTAAGCTTGTGGCTTGTACTTCTTTCCCCAATCAGGATCAATCTTTGCGAGCACAGAGATGACATAAGTGAAGTAGCCTAGATGATAATGGTGATCATTGTAAATCCCAAATCCAAAATCACCCATAGGATCCAATGATCCTACCTTAGTTACAATTCCACCCCATTTCGGATCATACAGAAAAGCGTTTCCAACAAATTTCCCATCCAACCATGGTTCAATCGAACGCTTCAAAAACTTCTTGATTGCTGGAATAACTTTTAGGTAAGAAACCTCTTCAGCAATCAAAGCTAACCTTGCAGCTCTAGCAATGGCCTTCCCATAAAAATAAGATGAATTAGTGCCTATGGGAGTTTTGCTTAGATCCTTAACATCCTTGGTCAGGGCAGCTACTATCTCTGCTTGTGATTTCTTCTCAACCCCTTTAATTGAATGCCAACTCAAAGGAATAGGATCAGTCTTTAGAACCCATGAATCTTTAGCAACAACACCCACAAGGTCTCCATCAATGCTGCTATACTTGAAATTCTTCAAGACAGTAAAAGAACAATCCGCAGTAGACAGAAACTTAAGATGCAGGGGAAGTGCAAGCATTAACAAATCACCCCCAAATCCCTTTTTCTCCCAACTGTATTCCACAGTGAATGGCTTACTAAGAACAGCATGACCAGAAGAAGCATAACTCGAATGGAAACGATCAAGAGTTGCCTCCGTAACTGGGTCGGAATCCGGCAAAGCAGCTGTCCTAATTACACCAGTAAACTTACCAGTAATAATGTTAGAACGACCACTTTGTTTCAAATAGATTGGTGAAGAAGCATACAACAACCAAGTCTGGTTGCTTTTGAGCTTAATCGTATACTTAGTAAGACTAGGATTGGATGAGATTTTTAGGATAGAATGAAAGGTTGAGATTGAGATAGCAACTTTATCCAAAACCTCGAAAGTCACATAAGGACTTCCCCTCACGAGATAGAAACGTAATTTGCTAGAGGGATGATCCAATGTAACACCTAAATCACTGAAAGCAGAAATGACATGGGATGAATTAGGATTGGGATTATTGACTGTAGAGATGGAGAGATCAGGAGTGAAGACCTGGTAAACAAAAGAAGCGTTTTGAAACAGAGATGGGTAACAGATAGAAAGGGTGGAAAGGACCGATTTAATGATGTAAGGATGAATGTATTCCGGCTGACTTCCGTTTTTCAGAACGAAATTTTGGAAAAACGAGTTTGTGGGTAATGGGGAGGAGAGGAGGTTTGGGGCGAAGTATTGTGACGGATCTGGGAGGACGGCGGAATGGGTTGCCGGAAATAGGAAGGGCTGATAGAGCTCCATTGTCTTCGGCAGCGAACGGAGGCCGCCGGAGGGGGAGGAGGAGGATCTGGTGGAAGCGGGAGGGTTGGACTTTCTGGTAAGGAAGGTGGTCCTTTTATACCCATTTTCTTCAAAGGAATCGTCAAGATAGCGACGACTTTTCCGTCTGATTTAGTTTCAGCACCATTTTTTCCGTTACATTTTTTAATTCTGTGTCACTTGGCCACGTTGAGTTGCTATTAAAGGGACTATAGAAATGACAAAGATAAAGAACTCTCGGTTTTGTAGAGGAATTGGGACATGGAAAATTTTCCGGAGGAATTTATTAGCATATAATTTACGCCACATTAATTATTAATTATAGTAGTAGAATACTGGCAATTAAAATAAGAAAAATAATCTCATCGAAATAATTGCTACTATTATTGTCCAAAACGTCCAGGACTGGACAATTACTACGGAGAATGGATCATATAATACCTGCAATCAATAGATAGTTCTTGTAACTAAAACAGAGTTTGTCGGCCACGTTGGCCTTTAAGGAGGTGCATGGTTCATCACTTAGGATATGAAAGAAAAAGGGTTTGATAATATTTCAATTTCTATGACATGTGTTATACTATCATTGTCATATATATTGCTTGGTTAGTGAAATTTCTTGAAATAGAAAATGAGATAAAATATCCTTTTTATCCTTAAAGAGCAAACATTTTACCATAGAAAAAATTGATTCTTTTCCTCTACTGCCGTTGAAAGCTTGAACCATCAGAAGTGAAAGAAAATTTCATCAACAGAGACAAACATATCTCTGTGACACCAACAAAGATTTGTCAAATGGATTTTTGTTATTTTTTAAATTTTCGTAATTCCTCCTACATACTATTCAGATTCACGGAACTAAAGAGACATTTTAGCTTCATTGCAACAGAGATGAAATTAACCACCAATGAAAGAATGTAAAAAGAAGGCAAAAAGTGAAAACTCGTGACTTTTTTTGGGCATAAATTTCGACGGATCTGGAAATATGTCCTTGTGCACAGTCAGATATGGAGAAGATGGGCATATATTTTGATGCAAAAAATAAGTGTGATGATGTTGATGATGCTGCTGAGAAGACTGGATATAGGGAGAATTAAAAAAAAATTGATAATAGAATAATTTTGGTTTTTGCATGAAAAAGAAGGATGAAGGTGGAAGCCAGAGAGGAAGGAGAAAGGATGAAGGCTAAGATGAGGAAGAAGAAAGGCACGATCTAGAGCGACGGGCAAAATGGAAGAGTCAAAATTTTTTTCTTTTTTCTATCAAACCCACCTAATTAAAGTGGAATGAAAGAAAATGAGTGAAAGTCAATTTTGTGGGCTAGCCCATTCCACATTATTGAACCAAGCATCATTAATTGATATCAAACCTATAGAATTGGTATTAAATCCTCTAAACAAGCATTCCCTAAGTTATTTTCTTTTGGAACCATATTGGCTTTGGAAGGGAATTTTTCTTTTTTCTTCATATTTTTAGACATCGATGCTCGTGTAGGCACTTTTTTTGTTAGATTGGAATATGATCTAAAAAAAATTTTAAAGGGGAGTTTAAAAAGTTATATGCAAAATTTTTAATAATAAAATAATAATTTATTCACCAGCATTAGACAACTCATCACCGTCGCCGGACCAACTTGGTTGGAAGTTGGCCGAAATATGGCCAGTTGATCACTTCCTCGCGGTGGTCCAGCAGCAGATGGTGGTTCCAAAAAAACTTCTGCGGGATGGTTAGTGTAGATTTAGTAAAAATAATATTTATGATAAATTTTAAAATGTAAGTTGAAATGTTATATGAATAATTGTTTTGTATTTAAATTTGAGTTTAAGATGTGAATTGAAATTCCTTTATTTTTTTAAACAAAGAAAATAAGTAAACCTGGTAGTCTTTTTTGAACAATCCGTCAAGTAATCTCAAGATTTGTGAAATTAAAACAATACTTGAAATTAAAATTTATCCAAGGTATATCAAGATATTAGGTGATTATGTCTCTCTCTTCTCTCTGTTCTACACCCTTCAACCATAAAAAATTTCTTTTATTCCCCTATCTCCTATTAATGTTTCATGTCCCAATTTTATTTAATTGTCAAAAATCATTACATTGTATCCACAATAGAATTTATTTTTTGTTTTGATGTTTATTTTTACTTAATTGGATAGCAACTACGACAGTGAATTAGCTTTGGACTTGCATATCGCAATTTTGTTTATTGGCATATCGTAGTTTATGGATCCAAGTTCGTTGCTCAAACGTACAATGCTTTATTATTGTTTACATTTGAGGAGAGTAAGTCTTAGATTTATTTGTTTGATGATTAGAGCTTTACAATAAATTTTTACAGATATTAAAGAAAATTTTTAATTTAGTACTCCCTCCGTCCCATAATTATTGTCTAATTTTACTAAAATGAAAGATTTTATTTTTGGTCAAACTTAACTATATTTTACCTTAAACAACCGGATATACCCTACATAAGTAATTATTTAACCACTAAGGATTTTATGGATAATGTTTTTTACTAAGGACAAATGTGTAACTTGATCCATAAAAAGCCAAATTGACCACGACTCAATATCCAGCAACCTAACAATATCCAGCAGCCACACGACTCAATTTTTCCTTTTTCTCTAAAATCAATTCGATTTATTTTATTTTTTTTCGTTCTAACTTTAAAGTTTCACTTTAGAAAAGAATACCGATACTTTCCCTCAAAATACGATGCTGCCTACTGATTGGTATTGAAGATGTTTTATAAGAACCTTCAAAATACAAATTGTGGAGACGGTTAAGAAAAAACTAGGAGCTTTATCACTGTATAATAAAAAAAAAATGGTCTTTTAAGTTTTAACTTACTTGAGTTCGACAATGATTGAGAATGGGTGTGTGAATGCATACATTCCAATATTTTTATACCAGTCTGCGAATTCATCTTAAAATTCTAAAATTGATCAATGATATGCCACGGACAAATTCATCCCATAACAAAAATTACGTGATACAGAAGGTGAAAATCTATTGGATCCAAGTGCTTATTTTTTTCTATTTTATTTTTTATTTTTTAGTCATTGTTTATTAAAAGAAAAGATTTCTAAATGAAAAAAAAACTCAAAACATCTTAAATTAATTACTAAAAAAATTTAATTCATCACAAACGTAAATAACTTAAAAATTTAGAAAGAACTCAAAATTAATTAGTCAATGCATTCAAATATGTGTGTGTGCGCCCATGCAAGAGAGTGCGAAAACAAATATACATGACAATATTAAATATTCATAAAGACCTTTAGATCTTAGGACCCAAAAAAGTCCACCTATACAATTATAGTAGGCCTACAGTTTGAATATTTTTGGGTTTTAAGTGTATATCCCGAGTAGTCAACATAATGTGCAGTGCACGACGCTATAATTATGTAGAATAGATCTCTATCTCTCAGAAAATCATTAGATCGACTTAGTCGCCACCATTAGCCATGTGTTATTTCTTAATTATTTCATCGTTATTCAAAAACTATCCGTGCACATACATTTTTGCAGGATTAGTTAAGGATGGCCATTTTTCAAGGATAAATAAATTTGAGCAGATCAAGGATACATAACTGGAATCGCAATCCACCTCCACAGTCAATGTTTACTTTTTTTTTTAACTTCCACAGCCATCATTAAATAGTCTGTCACGATCGAACACTAATTTTTCTCCATTCCACAGTTTTATTACTCGTACTTGTCCTACTAATTTCGTCAACTAGGTTAGAAATTCCATCCTAAACACGATTAGCTGGAATAAAAGTTAAGAAATATGTGAAATATCCAACTCAAAACTAAATGACAAGACTGACTCATGTAAATTATATAAATATATTATCTCTTTGTCTACATTATATGATATTCTCGGGACAATTGAACAATATAATGACCTAATGATTAAGGTTGAGGGCTAATAAGTCACAAATTCCACCGGAAATATGAGAAAAGGGATTCATGATGAGTTAGAGGGAGGGATAGCGTAAAAGTAAAATAGGGAGAAAAAAAATCGAAATTCTCAACATCACTACTAGAAAATTGGAATTTATTGACCAAGCAAAGTTGTCTAAAAATGAAATGGTCGCCAATACATAAAGACATATATATAGCCGCATCCCAAAAAGTAAAAAGTAACCAATAAAAGGTCAAAAGATTGGACTGTATCAACGGTTCACTCTTTTATTTTGTTGGTCACATCAGCTTAATTTACAGGCTGAGGCGAAAGCATGTTTTGAGAGCTTGATCTTTACACAGCACACGGGTATGCTCAGACTCTCAATTGGCACGGACTCTTCTTTGCTAATTAAAAATTATCTAGTTCATCCCGATGGTGCATCCTTAATGCATCGGTAGTGTTAGGGATACAGTAGATGAGATAAATAGTACTCCGTATATTGCCTTCGTTCTGTAACCCCTATAAGGTTAGTAGAAATTTTGTTCAGATAGGCCGTAATTAGTGATGTAAAACGTGAATTTGTTTTTTTTTTTTTTAATAAAGAAAAAAATCATCCAACTCGATTAAAAATTAACTTGACAAGGACCATTTTCAAGGACAGGGGTGATTTTAGTAACCAAACAGGTAGGGACAAATCAATATGGAGAAATTAAATTTAGCATATTTAAAGATACATAGGGGAAAAAAAAACCATTTGAACATTTTAGTTATGTAAAAAAAATCATGTAAACACATTCAAAGGCTCCATCATGCCAAGAACATTTCGCCAATGTCCAAGGCGGCCAAGAACACTCTGACACTCTTCAAGGTTCTGCGCTTTTAGTCTTTTTGCACGAATTCTTAAGCTGTATTGCAAACAACCTCTTCTTCTTTCGGCTTCAATGCCGGCTTGGTGGTCTCTTCTTAGGCGTTAAAACCTAGTCCCTCATTCCTAGGCCGCAACTTAACCTCAATGGGAGCTACAATCCCCTGCCCATTCTTACCCAATCCTCCTTCAATGTAACCATTCTTCCGTAACAATTTCGTGCCAATTTGCCTAGTGTGCCTTTCGAACAAGCCCAAACCATCATGATGACCTGAACTATGACATATCTCCTCCTTCCAATTCTTCTTGGTCGCTTCTTTCTGTTGTCTCTCACGGCGTCTCTGAACTCCTTCCTCGATTTCTTTCCAAAGTGCACTTGAGAAGAAGTCTTCTTCATCCTTTATGTAGTTACCATCCTTAACCAAAACAGACCCTGATGATGAAACTGCCTCTTCTTCTTTCGACTTCAATTCCGGCTTGGTGGTCTCTTCGCGGGCATTAAAACCTATTCCCACATTCCTAGGCCGCAACATAACCTCAATGGGAGCCTTAATCCCCTGCCCATTCTTACCTAATCCCCCTTCTACATAACCATTCTTCCGTAACAGTTTCAGGCCAATTTGTCTAGTGTGCATTTCAAACAAACCCAAATCCTCATCATCTTGACCGGAACTTGGAAATTCCTCCTTCCAATTCTTCTTGGTCGCTTTTTGTTGTTGTATCTCACAGCGCCTCTTAACTCCTTCCTTGACTTCTTTCCATAGTGGAGTTGAGAAGAAGACTTCTTCATCCTTTACGTAGCTACCACCCTTAGAATTTAGATCGGTAAGTTGATTGGGGATTAACTTACAACCAGAAGTGAAAATAACAGGCTTTGAATAGTTAGCCCTGTTTTCCTCACTCTGTTTCCTATATTTCTTTGAAGGTTGTAATAAGTCCTCATAATCAGAAGTATCATCATCACTATTATCACTGGAAAAAATCCCATACAATCGTTCATCAGATCTCATCTGGGTTCGTTTCGAATTGCGCTTTCCGTAACACAATTCCACATTATCAGTCCATGTCGAATTCTCATAATCGTTATCCATCCCCAACCCTCAACAAGAAGAGACTTTTCCGGTGTACAGAAAACCAACAGGAACCGTTCCTGAGATCGAGGAAAGTGAATTAGAATCACAAATTTAAACCAATTAGGTAGATCTTATTAGGAAGGAGGATCGTGTTATATATTTATAGAGCAATTGGTATGCGCCGGAGAAGGAAACATAAAGGGAATAGGAAACAGAAAAGGAGGAATCCGAGAGAATAAAGTATTTGTTGGGCGGAATCCTAGTTAAGCTTGGATTGCAATAGCGATGGCGAAACCTAAAATAGATGAGCCATATAGTATTAGGCAATGCCTCTTCTCATCGTATTATTAAAACAAAAAAAAGAAAGGGAAAACGGATGATGCTAGGATATCGCTATAGGCCAAATTCATGAACATCCCTCGTAAAAAATATTATTGAGGAATTATTTTCAAGTTCATCCATAATGGATGGTTCAGAATCCACTTGAAATATGTAAAATTTGATAGAGCCAGTATAGGGATCTACATTTATAAACGAATTTTGTGTATCCAAGATTGGGGAAATGTAAAGTTTTATAATAAAGTAAAAAAAAAATTGAAATTAACAAATCCTAAATTAATAATCTTTATTATTTTTGAAATAATAAATTTTGAAAAATAATCATATACTAAATATAGTAGGTCCCATAAATATATCAATTATTAATAATTGCCTAGAATATTTAAAAAAATTGCGGTTTTGAAGATGAATTTCTGAAAAATAAAAAACAAGAATATAAATCCCAAATGAAATATGTATTCATGACTTACAAAAGAAAAACAAAATAGAAAAATATGAACAAAACCGACTTACCAAAAAGCCTACTCAGTAGTAAATCCGCGTCAATAGGAACTCCTATTCTGAAATGGAGTAACAATCGATCCAAATTGGAAATTGAGTAAGAAATACGCTTCTTTCTCTATAAATACACACCAATAAACCACTTCTTTGCCAAAATCGAAAAACCAGGGTTCGGATACTGAAAGTTTTCTTTTTCTTCTTCTTTAGTGCGTGTGGAGGAAATTCTGTTCTTGCACTAATCAGCTGTTATTTGGAGAATTGTGCTGTTGTGTCTGCGATCATGGGGAAGATAAAGAGAGCACCAAAGAATAAGGTGAATCCTCCTTGCGATGGAAGTCGTAGTTGGCAGCCTAATCATGAGCCCGACGAATGGGAGAAGAAGTTCATCGAAGTAATCGGAACGTTGGATTGGAAAACATTCCTGGACAAGAAGAAATACGTCAATCTATGTATATATAACAGGGTGGCCAAATGGGATGATTTGGCCGGCGAAGAGGCTTTTCGCGATTCGAAGAAGCGATTTTTCGAAGAAAGAATACACGGTGATGATCATCCCCGCGGATCTTTAGTAATGCATGGGAATCCAGACCTTTATATCGATAAAATTGATTGGGATTCGGGAGTTGATCAAACGCTCGTAGCTGAACTTGATAAGTGTGTGCGTCTTTACCACAAAGTGTTGAAGTGGGATGACTCTGCGGCCGAAGAGGCCTTCCAAAACGTGCAACAGCGGATCTTGGAAGAAAAAATTTACGGTCATCAACGTAGTGACCTAATGATTTTATCGCCCGATGATCCAATTGATTGGGATGCCGAAGTTGATCCAGAGCTTTTCGATGAACTTGATCAGGTTGATAGGGATTCAGAAATTGATCCAGAGCTTCTCCTCGATGACCTTGATGAATACGGTGATTCATTCCTTGATACGGGCAAGAGTATTGAACCAGTTGTAATTTTTGGCGATGAATTTCGAAGCGAAAAAGGTTTTTCGAATGATGGTTGGGGAGTTGGCGATCTTGAAGATGCTGTTAGGGACTCAAATTTCAACAACGATCACCCATGGGAGGAGAAAAACCAAGTTCAAAGCCAAAGCACCGCAAAAAAAGATGGATGGGGAGATCTGATCACTGATAATGTTGGTGCTAACAATCTGGATGATGGACATATTGGACCTGCTGGACGGACTTACAACCATCAGGGAACAATCCTGAATGCAAAGAAGAATAATATTAATGCTGCTAGTGGTAGAATGAGGATGCCGAGCTACACGGCTTCGACGTTCCGTGGCATTAAGCGAACCGGTGGTGGTTATGTATGGAGGGAAGGGATTAACCACAAGACCTTTGCTTGTTTCTGAAAACATGTCCATAGATGCAGCGCCATGTATAGATCATTATTATGGAGTTAAATTTATTGCAAGCAATATGAACGTTAGTAATGTTATTGTTAAAGAATGCAAGCATCAATACTAATGTTATTGTTCAGTAATATCATATGGAATATTTGGTATTCTTGATTTTCTTAGCTTTTGTTCTATTTTCGAATACTCCTAAATGTGGATTTTGGAAAAAAGCACGTACAAGGCAAAAATTTCATGCAAACTACTATCGAACTTGGGGAGATGACCATCTCATTATCACTGACCAATGCCTTGGTGTTCAACTCCAATCAGGTGCTTGATTTAGTTCAAAGTCAGATTTTTGTTCTGGCTTTTATTGAAATTCTATTGAAGGTTCTAAAGGAACATCTATCGATACGGTCAACCTGATGAAGCCGTGACTCATTTAGAGTTTGACAATTAGATTTTTGGGAGTTTTTTTTTTTTTTGGTTCATTCATAGAAGCTCACGCTTTGCAACTAACTTGGTATGCTCTCGGAATATGCCACCCCGATTACATTATAATCAAGCCATGGGCGACTGCTAACCGGTGGACTATATACCAAGTCATTCTTCGGGAGAATTCTAAGTACCAATGTGTTAGCAAATGATTGAGTATTAAAGCATAACATAGATTTTTAACTTTTGGTTTTTTATCCAAGCAATGATTTTCACAAGTATCAAAATCTTTTAAAATAAAAACCACTAGAATCGCGTGAATTTTAAATGTAGAGCCAATAAGAGTGGTGGGGTGTCAAGCCAACAAACAATTTAACCTACTTTCAAACTAGTAACATAGGAAAGCAAGGTCGTCTCCCAGCGAATGGTGGATTCGTTTCTTTCAAATAAGTAACCGAAAGGAGGTTTTAAGTTTTTAAAACTAAAATGTAGTTAAAATAAAATTCAAATGATAGTTAAAAAAAAATGAAAGCAAATTATGAGAAAGTTTCTAGTCAAAAGATTTTATATCCACCTTGGTCTAGACAATTGATCATAGATGCAATGATATGCTCAATCACTTATAGGCAAATTAGTTTTCGTTGTTGGAACCTCCTAACAACTCAATCTTGAACTAAGTTTAGTGATTAAGAGAACCTTCATTAAACACACTAGTCGAAATTCAATCCTGGAACCTCCTAAGATTAAGAAAACGACTGCATTAAGTATACAAAGACCCAATTCTGATTCCTATAAAACAAATCTTGTTTAATAAAAAACCAGATTACTTGTTCTTATAACATAACAAAATCACTCACCAAGTAATTTAATTATATCAGTCCCTTTTAAAACAACAAACCTTGTTGCCTTATTGGTTGTTAACTATCATGAAATAATGAATGCTACCAGCTATTCATGAATCCACAATAATCATATCAATCATACAATAGAACAAGCAAATACTCACAAGAAATTGAGAGAGAAACAACATTTAGATCTCATAACTATTCAAACCAAGGCTTCAATATCTTTCAACTAGAAAAATAATTTAATTACATATAATAAAGCCTTACTGAAACAAAACTATGGAGAATGGGGAAGAATAATGCCCAAAAGGGCTAGATAGGCGACTAAGGATCACTCTAGCCTCCTCTTCTTCTTCTCACGTTCAGCTCCCCCCCTAAAAGAAAAGAATAAAATCAATTTATATGGCAAAAATTAGGTCAGCCGCCAACAGCTTATAAACTTTTCCGAAATTTGCAAATTGGTCCCTCAAGTTTGGTAAAATTATATTTTGACCCTAAAACTTCTTTATTTTTCAGTTTAGTCCCTGTTTCGGTTTGGCCAAACGAGAATGCAGCATCAATGCTGGAATTTCTTCTCTAAAGCTCAATTTTAGACTGAGATACATGTGCCCACACGAGAATGTGATGCCATTGCTCCCTTTTTGTGCATCCTTGTCAAAATGCTCCAAAAATGTGTGTTTATGGAACATTTTTCTCCATCTCAGCTCCAATCACTCCTAAGAACCAAAAACATCAAAATACACAAAATAAGTGCACAATCTAATCCAAAATTCTATTCAAATACCCATAAATAACATGAAACTTGAAGACCTATCAAAATCCCCCATACTTAGATTTTTGCTTGTCCTCAAGCAAAAGCAACTCAAAGTAAACATGATAATATCCTTTCCTACAGACTCTAACATGTAAAAACAACAAAGAGAATTGTCAAAACTTGTCTCAAATTCTAGTCTCATTTGAGACAAATAATGTACACCACAGTTCAGTACCCCTTAATCAAGTCAGAAACTCACTTCCGTGAGTGTGTGAAACAGACCACAAAACAAAGTGTTGCTTAACCGAAGATTACATTTAATTACTTTCAAGTGGACATTCTTTTGATCAGTACCTATTTCCTTCTTGCCTTCAACTAGGGTATTCTTACTGAGGTTCCGATCTAAGGGCTTCCTCTCATTTTCTGCAAGCATCATTGGCTGCATCTTTCACCCTCGTACATTTTCATCCATTTGTCCAAATTTGCTTTTCTTCTGGATCTTTCCCACTCAGGCCTATACCAAGCACATATTTCAGCAACTATGGTAATCTAAGCATTTTCTGTTTAAACTCACCAAGCCTGAGGACACTCCTCTCTTTGGTGTCATACCTCACCTCTCAAGGGATTAAATGCCACATTGGACACTCTGCCTATACTCCCTTATTAGATAAAGCTTTTAACCTCATATTCAACCGCCAACTTTCCCCTTTTTCCCAAGGTATTTAGGCTAATACAAACCACTATGGGCTCGATTCAAGGCTGCCATAATACGTAGGGTTGCCTTAGTCTAACTCTCAGATTCACAGTCCCCCCAGGTTTCAGACAAGTGGACTCCAGTATAAGATCACAACAATGCATTAATGTATTCAAGATTTTAAAAGTTTAAGCCCAAAGTAAACACATTGTCAAGTGGAATGTTGTGCATAAAGATGTGGTCATGAGTTTCTAACATGCTTGAGAGTGATCCTGAACAGGTATTTTTAAAATCATATGTAACCCTCAAATTTAATTCATCATAGACTATTGACAATTCTCAAAGAAACACAAATTCTATTTAATTCCCCCACACTTAAAAGATACATTTTCCTCAAGGCATAAAACATACAAAGACAAACAAGAAAAGTACACACAAACTCCCACATAATGTAAAAGAAAAAGAAATGGTACTTCCTTGGAATTTTGTAGTGGCTAAACGAAATTTGGTGTGAGTAAAGGTCCACAGCTTTTGATGCATTCGCACATGGGTTGACTAACCATAAAAATACTCATTAAAAGCAAGCTGCCACACTTGAACAAACCATTAAAATAAACTAACACTACGCCAATCAAATGATTAAGAAAAACGACAAAAATCAAGAAATCATAGCTCTCAAGATCATCAGGAACAAAAAACTTAACCACCCAACTGATTTATTCAAGAAAACAAATAACGAAAATCAAACCATTTGGTTGCCTCCCAACAAGCGCCATTTTTTAATGTCTTGGGCTAGACACAGCTTTGGTGCATCACGGTGGAAACTTGCAAGCTCCACATATAACTGAAACTTGTGAAAGTCCTACAAAAATCTCAACAAAACCAGAGTAGGAAGTTCCAAATTTATATACACACTTTAAATCAACATAAGATGGTGGAAAGTGATCTCCTCTAAATGTTTCTTTAAAAGCACCACACTTTCTCCACGCATATACCATGAAATCATGCATTAAATTCATTCCACAATTATCAAAAAATTTTAGAATTACATTCATCTTTATCCCTAATTCAGGAGGTCTAGATAAATGTCCATATGGAAACTCTATATGCATAGGCACATGTGTTAACTCAAATTTTTGAGATTGCCATTTCTCATAAATTTCAGGCACAAATTCAAAAACACAACTACTAGAAAAATCAACTCGTGGAGCACTTTTAACATTCAAATTCACATATTCCTTTGATAATGATGTGACTCCATTTATCATTTTTATCCTAGTAGTTTTTCGAAATGATCTACCTAAGAAGCATGGACTTGAGTTTAAGACTAAATTTCCATTCACATGAACCACATCAAAATTAGTAGGAAAAATATTTTCACCACATTGGACAGATAAACCATCTTCAGCACACAGAAGACTAGCACAAGACTCTTCAACAAGTTTTATAACTTCATCAGTTTCGTTCAATGACACACGTTTCAAGAACTTAAACATAGACTGAGGAATGATAATAACACCAACTCCAAAATCTATGATAAATTTATCACTTTTAACATGTCTAAAAGTATATGAAGGAGTAGGTATACCTGTATCATGGCATTTGAAAAGTAATTTCGGTTGGACTATATCAGAGAGATGTTCTTCCACTGAAATTACCTCATTACCTTGGAGTGTAGTTTCATTAATTTTTGTGCACAACTCCTCTTCAAATTCATCATCACAAGGGAACTCGTCAAATTCTTCCGAAAGACGAACATGAACCTCTCCATTGGAAGATGTATCTATAGCATCTTGTTCATGCCTTATTGGTTGTAAACTATCATGAAATAATGAATGCTACCAGCTATTCATGAATCCAAAATCTTTATATCAATCATTCAAAAGAACAAGCAAATACTTACAAAGAATTGAGAAATGAAAAATATTTAGATCTCACAACTATTAAGAACCAAGGTTTCAATATCTTTCAACTAGAAAAGTAATTCAGTTACACATAATAAAGCCTTACTGAAACAAAACTATGGAGAATGGGGAAGAATAACGCCCAAAAGGGCTAGATTGGCGGCTTAGTACCACTCCAGCCTCCTCTTCTTCTTCTCACGTTCAGCTCCCCCCCTAAAAGAAAAGAATAAAATCAATTTATATGGCAAAAATTAGGTCAGACGCCAGCAGCTTATAAAATTTCCGAGATTTGCAAATTGGTCCCTCAAGTTTGGCAAAATTACATTATGACCCCAAAACTTCTTTATATTTTCAGTTTAGTCCCTGTTTCGGTTTGGCCAAACGAGAATGCAGCATCAATGCTGGAATTTCTTCTCTAAAGCTCAATTTTAGACTGAGATACATCTGCCCACACGAGAATGTGTTGCCATTGCTCCCTTTTTGTACATCCTTGTCAAAATGCTCAAAAAATGTGTGTTTATGGAACATTTTTCTCCATCTCAGCTCCAATCACTCCTAAGAACCAAAAACATCAAAATACACAAAATAAGTGCACAATCTAATCCAAAATTATATTCAAATACCCATAAATAACATGAAACTTGAAGACCTATCAAAGAGCTTGGAAAAACGCAACAGAACAAGGAGTGAAATTCCAAGTATAGGATTGCACGTTGAAGCCAGAACCAAATCATGTAAGTTTTGCAGGAGAATGGACTGAAGTAAACGCGCGTTTCAATGCAAAATTGTTAGTGTAATGATACTTCTTATTTCTATTGGAATATGATCCCATATTGGCAACTGATTTGTTCTCAACTAGCTCAGTTAACGAATCATAGGCAATATCATATGTACTTACGATTATTGTACCGATGACTCATGTCCCGAATGCGGTTTTAATGATTAGAGGATGATTGGAAGTGAGCTATTTCTTTCCATCCTGATTTTAAAGCATAAATTAGTAGTAAAATTAATTTAAATCAGTGTCTTATAATTGGGTTCGGAAGGAGTACAACTCAATGCAAGAACTAACTGTTTTTAGTTCGGGTTAGCAAAGTATTGATTCAATATATGCACAAAAGCAACCAATATATCCTTTATTAAAAAAAAAAAAAAACCGATACATATCATGCACGAGAATATATACAGTATATAATGTCTCGTCCATTCGGTTTATGTCGCCATTTTCTGAATTATTTCGCTTTTTTCCCTGGTTAAATTCAATATATAATACTTCCCTTTGCTTCTGAAAAATAATCCACACAAAACTTGACATGGACTATTTTCAGGGACAGGCGATTTCAGAAAACAAATAAGTAGGGTGAAAATCAACATGGGGAAAATGTCCATCTTTCTTGCTCAGAGTTGGACAGAAAAATGTTGTACATCGAAGAGAAAAAACAAACTCTAGGAGGCTCCACGTCTCTCAAATCATGCAAATCCAACAACAGCTCCAGAGATGTCAACGCCCACCTTCCATCCTCCATCTGGGCAAACACTTTTTCCTCAAGGGAATCAATGACAATGTTAACATGGCCATACTTATATATTTGATGACCATCTCGCATTCTGCCTGGTTTAGGCATTAACAGCAAACCATTCAGTTGTGCATGCGCTTCGATAACTTCCTTCAAGCTCATTTCCAATCCACCATCTTCTTCATCACCATCATCTCCTAGACCAACAGGAACCTGTGGATGCGCCTGATGAGAATCTGCCTTTTCTAACTGTCTTTTCTCAAATTTCTTAAGGTATGATAAGGTCTCTGCCAACCCGAGTTGTGTAGCTTCTATGCCTTGAACAGCTTGGTTCATCATGATGATGCCATGACGAATTCTAGAGCGAATGTGTACGTTGGCTAAGAGTTCAGGAGGAAGAACCATCCAATTGAAGTTCCATTTCCTAATTTCTTCAATCTTTGGCTTTAAATTCAGCCATTGATCCAAGACTTCATACCATTTTCTGAAAAATAACATCTAGTATGACTATCAGGTTTTGAATTGGAGTACTAGAAGCCCAGACCATGACCCAATTGAGTTGATCAAATGTTTGATTTTCAGGATTGATCTCGAACTCTTGCATGACAGACAGCAACTTTGGAACTATACACTTCATCATAAGCTCATCCCAACTAGTTGGATCAAACACAGTCTTCCAAGGTGAAAGACAGACATATACCGACTTATCACTTGGATGCCAAGCAGGTAAAACGCTTTAAAACTTATCACGGATTGTCTGGTAGCATGGCTCCAGCTTGTTCCCTAAAAGTGGCAGCCATGGATGAATCCATAAATGGATTGGTATTGTTTCCTGAACGGGATCCCATGAATTCACAGCGGCAGATATCTTCGGCATGACAATGCTGTCTAAAATTCTCTCAAGGACTGCAGATGGCAGAAGTTTCTCCCAAGATTCAAGAAACCGAAGCATTGGCTCAGGATCTCGCGCCTGCCAAGTGTTCATTCCAGAAATCTTTTCAGCCGGGAACACAAGTTCCATAATCAGCTGAGTGTATACAGATGTAGAGTCTAGTTGCAGGAGGGATTCCCACCGAGACATTATCTCTTCCCCGTGTTCAGGGTTCTCTAGGGGATTCCACCCTTCAAATTCTCTAATCAATAAGGGAAGAGCATATGCACAAGCAATGAATGGCAACTTACGGAGCTTATAATCATATCCATATCTTTTCTGCGCATCTAAAATCGACTTCTCAAGAGACTCCAACGTTGTTTCCAAATAATTCTCCTCCTCGATCTGCTCCACAAAACTAATTATTGCTACCATAGTATCCATCTGCTTCTCCAACTCAGGTAGTTCAGTTTGAAGTTTCTTATTCTCCGACTTATAACTTCTTGACAGTCTTCCTCTCATTTGACAACTGCCATTCAATTTTCATGAGGTCATCTTCAACCAAATAAACAATCTGTTTAATGTTGTGCTGAAGCTCAGGCGTCGGGATATCGTCATTCTCTATCGTTACATCCTCCGCATTCATATCTTGCAAGGCGGGGCGCCTGACATGAACCCGAGGCCCCCACCACACTGCACGAAAACTCTGCCCCAAAACGAAGTTCCGCGCTTTAATCTCTTGCAAGAATTCTTCAGGTGTAAGGTAAACAACCTCAACTCTAGCTTTCCTGGACCAAGGTTTCACAGCGGGTGGAGGTGGGACTGTACTCTCTTCTTCTTTCAGCTTCAATGCCGGCTTGGTGGTCTCTTCGCAGGCATTAAAACCCATTCCTGCATTCCTAGGCCGCAACTTAACCTCAATGGGAGCCATAATCCCCTGCCCATTCTTACCCAATCCCCCTTCTACATAACCATTCTTCCGTAACAATTTCATGCCAATTCGCTTAGTGTGCCTTTCAAACGAGCCCAAATCATCATGACGACCGGAACTATGACATTCCTCCTCCTCCCAATTCAGCTTCTTCACTTTTTGTTGATGTCTCTACCGGCGTCTCTGAACTCCTTCCTCAATTTCTTTCCAAAGTGCAGTTGAGAAGAAGCTTTCTTCAACCTTTATGTAGCTGCCATCCTTAACCAAAACAGAACCCAATGAAGAAACCTCCTCAGAATTGAATTGGGACCAGTAAGTTGATTGGGGATTAACTTAGCAGCAGAAGTAAAAATAACCGGTCTTGTATAGTTAGTTCTGTCCTCACTCTGCTTCCTATATTTCTTTGAAGAAGGGGGTAATTCTTCAAAATCAGAAGAATTATAATCACTACTACTATCCATGCCAAAAACCCCATACAGTTGTTCATCAGATCTCGTCTGGGTGCGTTTTGAATTACGCTTTCCATTCTCATATAATCCTTATCCATCCTAAAACCACCTATCGAAACGACGGTACTTTCCGGGAGTAGCAAAACAATAGGAATCGTACCTGTATCGCTGAGAGAAAGGTAAGAGAAAGTTAATTTTTAGTCAAAAAAATCTTATTCTTTAAATTGAAAAAAAGGATTAAAAAAATAGTATCATTATTGTCAAGTTATATTACTAAAAAAATTAATATGTTTATGTAAATCAACCACGAGTTACAAATATGCATATCTATAAATTTGCACAACAGTGTTTAAAAATAAATAATTTTCTTAAAAGATCATATAATATATTTTTATAGTTATGAGAAATAGTAGAAAGAAATTGAAAACAGAAAAAATTAAATAAAAAGTGAAAGATTGTTTGGTTATTTTTATAAATTTTTAGTGTCATTTTTATAAATTTTAAAAAGATTAGGGTATTTTTGTAATTAAAACTAACAGAATTCCGTTAATGTAAACAAAAATTGACAAATTAGACAAAATCGGCTAACGGTTGAATAGTTTAGAGTAATATTGGCTAACCGAAAAAGAATATGATAGAATTGACAAAACATGTCAACCTTTGAGTAGATCGGCCAATTTTTCCGCTTTTTAGCACCATAAGATATCAGTTGGTTAAGAAGTTAAAGAAATTGAAAAGACCTCATAATTTTCCTGATGTGCAGAATGCAGGAAAAGAAGTTCAAAAGAAGTTGATGATATTGTAACAACAGTTCATTAGTAACCCTAGTGATGTGTGTACAAAAATCCAGGAAAGAGAACTGCATAGGTCCTTTCTTAATTTTAGTAGAGCAGCTAATGATTTTTTTAGATAAGAGTCAAACAAAAACAGAATTAAAGGAGTTGGAGTACTTTTGAATATATATCCTTTCATACAAGGTGTCTATATACAAGAGTGACTAATCCTCCTTACTGATAGTAGGTCGTGGGGCAAGTGATCAAAGGATTTAAAGTTGTTCCATATTCATGACGAGATTTAAATCCCTGACCTATTGTTAAAAGTTGAGAAATCTTTACTACTCCACCACAGCCCCTTCAGTTGAGTACGTTGAATATTGATGAACATTTTACGCAATTCTACCAAGCTCAGCTAGGACAGAGTTCTAGCAGCATAACAGTTGATAAAGAATTATTCCATTTAAGTTCCAAACTGTCTTTCGACATCAGATTGTTGAATTTTCAGAACGAAACCAACAAAATAGCTGGTAAAAATGACATAATATCTATCTTAACACGATTCAAGAAATATTTATTTTATGAGCAATTTTCGGTTCAGTTTTTGAACCATATCAATTTTCTTAGAGCCATACTCACACCATTACAGACATAGCAATGGTTGTTGGAATACTATATTTTTTCCATGTGAAAATTAATATATGTGAACATAAAGTAATTGATCAAATTGTAATTTTTTTAAAGTTCAAGATCAAATTATATCTCTTCTCTTCTTTTCGCAATATCCCTAATTAACTTTGAATAATTTCTCCATCGTTAAATTTGTCCATCGTTTATATATATATGTATATATATATATATATGTATATATATATAAATTTTAAGGCCAAGGAAATTTGGTAAAAATCTGGACTAAAGGCGCAAGTACAACCTCTCAACTCATTGTTATTATTGTATCATATTATTTCTGTCCCAGAAAAAATAATTGCTATCTGAATATTAAGATCAGTGTTCTATTCCAAAAGTCAATGTGTAAATATTACTATAAGAGTTTACGATTTTCAGGGTGTATATTACCGTGACTAACCAAAATTTTGTAAAAGTCGTACCAATCTTATTTTGCATTTAATCCCTTTAATTTATTCCGCAGTCCGGACTAACCCTCAAACCGACCTTGTCCTTTTTTGCTAGGGGTCTTTTCCACGAGAGAACGGAGCGCAGGTCCCCGTCGGCCGTCGATCGGAGATTTAGCGGTAGATTCGCTATCGCAATTGCAATCCAAGATCAATTAGGATTCGCTGGACAATTCACCTATTTTCGGATTACTCCTGTGACCTGTCTGATTCCTATTCCCTTTTTGTTTGGATTTCCGGCGTATACCAATTGCTCTATAATATAGCACAATCAACATTCCTGGTAAACTCTAGCTTCTTGTTTCTTTTGTAATTCCTCCATTTGGACAAGAGTTTTAAAAAGACTTTTAAGGCTAAAAAGTCTGTTTAGTGTTTAAAATGGATTTGGATAAAATAATTAAAGTCTTTTCTAAACATCAATTTGAAAAAAAGAATGTTTGAAATAGAATTTTTAGAAAATAGGTAGGGGGTATTTTTCAATTTTTGAAATAGTCTTTTTAGCTCCGTTGGCGGGTCATAATCCAGATCGAAAACGGGTTATAAAAAATCGGGTCATGAATATCATTAACAAAACTAAAAAAAAATAAAATGCATTATACGCGATGCGCGGTTCCCCTCCCTTCCCATCTTTTCCTCACTACTCACTTTGTTGTCGGCCCCTCTTTTTTTTTAATTTTTATTTATTTTCAGTTTTATCCTATTTTTTCAAATGATTATATCTTTTAATATATAAATATTGACACAACGTGCTATATATCAAATTAATCTACACGAAGAGATCTTTCTATTAAGGAAACATTGTTAATATTTTTGGAATTAAAAATTTCATTCAAATTTATGTATCAAAATCACTGTATATATTGTTTAACTATTATGTATATGAAATGATAAATTATTTTTTTTTACCAAACAAGTAGTTTTGAAAAAGACTTAATCCAAATGGTTTTTTCATATTTTTAATTCGTAAAAGGGTTTTGAAAAATTCTTGTCCAAATGCATTATTTTCCAAAAATTATTTTTTTCAAGTTTTGTTTTAAACAGACTTTTTTGAACAACTTTTCCAAGTTCTTGTCCAAATGGAGCATTAAAACATTTAGCATAGATTAAAAATTAATATATTAGTACATTTTAATTTATTACAAATTAACTACACAGACTACAGATTGTATTATCCAATTCAAAAAATAATTAAACTAAAATATAGAATACAATATAGTGTTTAGGGTGTTGAGCTTCATGAGAGTAGATATAAGATTAATTCTCACCAAAGGATTTCTAATTGGGAGAGTGATTTTATCTACATTTGTTGAGATAGATGGTCAGATGATTTAAGACGAAAGATGATTATTACTATATTCGAGGCCTCGATTCTCATTAGGGTAATCCTTTTTTTTAAAAAAAAAAGGTGGAGTCCAGTACTGGAGTAGATTTTCTTTATTTTTTTTTATAAAAAAAACTTTCTCCTAATGTTAGATATGTTAATATCTCAAAACAATTATCACGAAATGTTAAAGCCTCGCAATGATAAATATACATACTTTTATAAAATATTCTGTACTATTTTTTTTTAATTTCTGTTCGTACTTGGCCTTTTTAAAGAAAAATTATATTTTATTTTAATTATTTTTTTAATTTTACAATACAATCTAAATCTGTTGAATTAAATTGTAATACATTAAAGTATACCAATAAAATTTTTTAATCTATGCTAAATGTTTTATTTTTTGTGCAAAATTAGTTTTAGTTAAATAATCTTATTTTTTGAATTGAAAAAAATGGACTAAAAAATTAAATTATTACTTTTAAACCATATTATTAAAAATTAATATCTTTATGTAAATCAAACATGACTTACAAATATGTAATTATAAATTTGTACATTAGAGTTAAAAAATAAATATTTTTTTAAAAGATCATATAATATATTTCTATAGTTATGAAACATAGTAAAAAGAAATAAAAAAAATTAAAATAAAAGTGAAAGAAGACTGTTTTGCTATTTTTACAAATTTTTTGGGTTATTTTATAATTTTTAAAACTAATAAGGTATTTTTATAATTAAAACTAACATAATTTAAATGGAAAGTTGGTTCTTACACCTAATTGGTCTTCACAATATCTTGGAATGCAGGGTCTAGTTTCCCCATATTAAAGTATATGAAAAGTTTAGAATTAATTATATTCATCTCGATCTCCTTATAATCTTATTGTAATATATAGGGTATTGCCCAGAGACTTCTTTAGTTTTGAAAGGCATTATATACTTCCATCCTTTCCCCATACACCATCACCCAATTTAGCTACTATCTGACTCTCCCTATCGATTTTTGGTCTAGGTAAAAAGTAGGACCTTGATGTGGCAGATCAACTAATTCAAATTTTTAGTACACATTTAAAATGCTTCAACCTGTGCCATTGTAATTCTCAGCCTTTTAAAACAATTATAAATATCTCCAACAACACACCAGGAAGCACACTCACTGTGGCTTTCATTCTCCCCAGGTCATCCCATAGGAAAGGTCTATAACTAACACTAATTGATGCATAAATACCATTAAAATAAAAGCTATTATGAACAGTGTGCCATTTGAGTAGTACTATGTGAACGTTTAAGTTGCACTGAATGATCCCATGGTAGCCAAATTCTCCACTTATCCTGTTTTGAGTGGTACTGTGGCTTTCATTAGGTAAAAGAAAAAAAGGAAATATTCACTCTCCCTCACAAAAATACCTTATATTGTAAATTGTAAATTCGAAAGGACGAATAAATAAATACTTCTAAAAGTGAAAGTACTTAACAATTCTGTTAATATTCTGTAAGTAGCCGAATGATTTGAAGTATATCCAAAATTTAATTAATGAGCAATCCAAATAAGATTCGGTAAAATAACTAAAGGACTGAAACCAAAAGGTTTGTTGGCAACACGATCAGCAGGTATAAGGCCCGTCATGAGTAATAAAGATGGCCAGTGACGGATTTAGGGGGGGGGGGTCAGGGTGGTTGATCGACCCCCGGTTGGTCGGATTTGGTTAAATTTTTTCTTAGTAGGGTGTCCGTTATTTGAAATTTTTTCAGTTCGATCCTCCGGTGACGGTTGAATAATCCTATTTTCGACCCCGCAATTTGAAAATTCTCATTCCGTCACCTAGATGCCCGTTCATTAGCCTGTACATTTTTAATTATTTATTGCTTTTCTTTTTTTATTTTTTAAAAAAGTTAAAACTATTATATTAATTTACTAAAAATCGACAAACAACAATTGATAACGAAAAGATATAACCTTCAAAAACTATAATTAACATGCTAATTCAGGAGATTACAATAAAAATAAATAAATAAAAAAAACGTGTAGACAAATCTTTTGAGATCGACATCGATCTCGTGGATTTAGGTATTTTACTTCAATTCACTACCAACTGAAATCCTAAAAAATTTCCTTTACTCTCAGGTTGGGAATTGATTACGATCGCTGATGCTTCAATTGGAGTAGTTAATGACAAACTTATGAACTTAGTGATCTCGGTTGCTGCGGAAGAAATCAATCTTGTAAAGTGTGTGAAGAAATAACTCATTAAATTTTTCCTGGCTGTATTACTACTCTTCTACAATTTGTTTCAACTGTTTATTAATATTTTCACGCATTAACATTAGCTTTCTTTTTTCATAATTTTTACAATAATCGATTATCAAGGAGTACTGATATAATTGACTTTAAATTGGCACTCAATCCAAACCGTCCGAATTTTGAAACGAAAACAATATGTTATAGTACAAGAGGGATCATTACCTTATATTTTTTGATATGGTAAACAAAACATAAGGCATCCGAGATGAACGCCAACTATAGTCGAGGGAAGATGTGGGTTTATCAGTTATCAGACATCATCGATAAGAAATGTTTATTAAAGGCGAGTTAATTCAATTTTCCTCACAGGTCACAACTTTCACTAAAATCTACTTTATCTAACTATTGATTAGAGCATTAGGAAAGTCAAGTATCTTATAGCGTATAGAACGAAATGTAATACTATTTCAATTCAGATGGAAATCATTGGGGAGAATGATTTAAAGGTTGTTCTAGAATTGTAGCGGCATTTGATTCAACAACATCAATGGAGATGACAAGTTTTGGATGGATCTTGTAATGAAGTAAATTATGATGCCTTTTAATATTCTACTTCAAAATCAAACATTTACTTGTAACAAATGCATATGTTTCCCAAATGAGGTTTTGTTATGTTTTTTTCAATGTGTATATATATATATTTTAAGTGGGAATGTATAAATATTAAACCCACCCAACCGACAGCCAATATGAGGAAAATGATTGAGGCTGAAAAGCATAGTTGCTATACCAGTGAGACTAAAATCTAAAAACTGTTCCTTTACATTTGGCTAAATACGCATTTTGATCTTCTAAATTAATAATTGGTTGAATGGTCCTCTACATTTTTGTTTATAACATTTTTTTGGTCCTTTGAAACTATCCTAGCAGTTTCACCATATTTGGGCTTAAGCCATCAAGGGTTTTGAAATAAAAATATTTATTTATTAAAAAAATTAATATTGAATAAAATATTAGAATAGATTTTAAAATAATCATATTCAGAAAAAATTAAGAACTAAAATAAATATGAAATTAATGAAAATTTCAAAAATTTTAATTTTTTAACAAAATGAAAAATATTCAAAAAATTATACTTTCTTTGCCCAAATTTATATTATTTTTAATTTGGTGGGCTTAGAATAAATTAAAAATATTACTTTTATGACAATATCTAATATAAAAAAAGATTATTACAATCTAATTTTTAATTTTGGATCTTTTTTAATTTATGAAATCGTAGGAAATTATATCTACAAAATAGATTCGTAAAAATATCATATTGACTTTCTTCATTACTTGTCCCAATTACGAACTGAAAAACTTACAATCTAATTAATAGGGATTATTGATGTATATGAGTGTAGTTATGGAGGTTTGTTGTATCGAGTAAAGTAATAATGAAATCATAGGAATTATATCTAATTTTTAATTTTGGATCTAATTTCTTCATTACTTGTCTAATTAATAGGGATTACATCTAATTTTTAATTTTGGATCTTTTTTAATTTATGAAATCGTAGGAAATTATATCTACAAAATAGATTCGTAAAAAAATCATATTGACTTTCTTCATTACTTGTCACAATTACGAACTGAAAAACTTACTATCTAATTAATAGGTATTGTTGATGTATATGAGTGTAGTTATGGAGGTTTTGTTGTATCGAGTAAAGTAATAATATAAATATTAAAATAATATTAAGTCATTAAAAATAATTATTTTTGCAAAGGACTAAACTATGAAATTCTTTACAATTTAAAAACATTATTCTTTAAAAAAAAGCATAAATTTTTGAATTTTTTTGGAGTAATAATATTAATTTTTTTATTCTGAATTATTTTGTTAATAAGGTGAGACATCAATTTGGAGGGTTAAGTAATGAGCGTCTAGGGTTTTACTATGACCGATAATATATAGGATGAAAATTCCACATTGATGGGCTTGTCTTTAAAAAAGAAATGGCTGAAAAAGCTTTAAAAACTAAATTTTGATTTAAAAAAATAAATTTTAATTAATTTAATTTGTTTTTATCTTTTTGCAATTTTAATTTTTATTAATTTAATATCAATTTTTCAATATTAATTTTTCTGAAAATAGATTTTTTTCCGAAAATACCCCTGTAACTTGAACCCAAATATAGTGAAACTTTTATAATAATGCCAAAGGACCAAAAAGTTAGAAACAAAAATGTAGAGGACTATTTAGAATGTTAATGTAGAGGACCAAAATGTAAATTTAGCCTAATGTAAAGGACTTTTTTAGATTTTAGTCTAAAAGTGAAGGGGGTTGAAAATAAAGTTAAACAAAAAAAGGTCTCCAGATTGATACTGGGAGAACAGGAACTAAATTGTTATAGATAGGGAGAATCCCATCCACAAAGCCAGCATTGAAGAGTCTTTTAAAGCTAATTTTGATCACTTCGATCTGATAAATATAAAAAAAGATTAGAAAACTAAACATCAATCCCACTTTATTTATTTTCTCCCTCACAATCTCCCTTAGTTGGTCTTCCAAGCAGAATCAGCTTAATCTTGATCGAGATTACCGATTTGGGTGGAAGAAAGATTTGCAAAAGTTCATCAACAAGAAGGTAAGAAGGAACTCATGCGTTTATTTATTTATTTTGTTTTAATTTTTTTTTTTTGTCTTATTATTGCAAACTGATTTATACCAGTTTGTACATCTGAAAACATATCATGGTTTTTAATCCCATCTGCAAACATCAATCTTAAAACTTCCGATATATATTTTAAGGTTTTCCTTTTAAAGTTGGCTTCTCCTTATTTGCACGAGGAAAAAAAAGGCACAAAAATAGAGAAAAAATTGGCTTCACCGGTAAGATAGAAAAAATTGGTTTCTCTTTCTAGTTTCTCTTTCTAGTTTCTATCCTTAGTATTTTTTCCCCTTCATATGACTTTATGTAATCCCCCTTTTTCTTGTTTATTATTATTGTGCTATTTTTAACTTCAAATATTTATCAGTGAAAGTACTCTCTCTGTCCCAAAATAATTGTCCAATTTAAGATTTCACGTTTAGTACAATTTGAATTAGAAATGAAAATCCAAACTCGATAATAATTATGGGACATAGGGAGTAATTATCAAAACCATTGAAATTCTGTAACAAGCTAACCTTTTAAATTGATATAATATTCTGTGAGTATTGGCATCCGTTACTATTCTGTATGTACATCTATCTCTATTTAATTATTACTTGGATACTGAACTTAAGTGTAAAAACCTAACAAACATGCTATTTAATAAGATCACATATGATTAATGTTAACAAAATCTTTGAGATGAATTTAGGTACTTCACTTGGATTCGCTCTAACAGCTGAATCCCAGGAACTTAATTTCCTTAGTCTCAGGGTCGGAATAAAAGTACGATGGCTGATGCTGGGATTGGAGTTGTTGCTGAAACACTATTGAACATGGTGATTTCACTCGCCACTGAAAAGATCAATCTGGTACGAGGTGTGAAGAAAGAACTCAGCAAGCTTCAAGAGCAACTGGAGATGATTCAAGCCATGCAGATTCAAGCTCACAAGCAGCCAATAAGCAACCAACCTGTCCAACTTTGGCTCAAGAAGCTACAATCAGTTGCCTTGGATGCTCAGATCGTGTTGGAGGAGTTCGGGTACGAAGTTCTACGACAGAAGATTGAGGGCCGAAAGAGAGACAAAGTGCGCGCCTTCTTTTCATGCTCAAATCCACTTCCATTCCGGCTGCGAATGGGTCAGAAGATCAAAAATGTTCAGCAATCCATCGAAGATGTTTATGTACAAGGAGAAAGAATTATATCTGTTCAGCATGCTAACTTGGCGAACTCACCTTCTACTTTGAATGAATTGAGATCAAGGCTAACATCTCCTTATGTAGAGGGTTCACAAATTGTGGGGAGAGATGATGATGTCAAAGAAGTGATTGAAATGTTGATCAATACAAACTTTGAGAAAGATTTGCCAGTGGTTACCATATATGGCATGGGGGGTCAGGGCAAGACTACTCTTGCACAACTTGTCTACAAACATGACAAGGTTCGGAATTCATTCGATGAAACAATCTGGGTCTGTGTCGCAGAAGATTTCAATGTGACGAGATTGCTAGATGAGATTTGTCAATGTGCCACGAATACCAGGTCCCAATTGACAAATACATCAGCTTTGGTGGAGAGGCTGAAAGGGGTGTTGACAGGTAAAAAGTTCTTGTTGGTATTGGATGATGTGTGGAATCGGGATGAGGTTGAATGGAATAACCTCAGGAATTGTTTGCTTCAAATTGGTGACTCTAACGGAAGCAGGATCTTGGCCACTACGCGTGAATCCAAAGTCGCTTCAACCATGGGGACGTCAAAGTATCACAGCCTTGGTGCACTCAGCGACGATCAAAGTTTGGAATTGTTCAAAAAAGTTGCGTTTGCAGAGGGAGGGGCAACAGAGACACCACAACTGCTGAATATTGCTCAAAGGATATTGGAAAGATGTCGTGGTCTACCGTTAGCTATCAAGACCATGGCGTCTTTACTGCGCTCTTGCAAAACCGAATCGGACTGGTCAATGATCGAACAAAGCGAAACTTGGAGTGCGTATCCTGAAGGAGACACAGTTCTCGCTGCCATCAAGCTCAGTTATGACCATTTACCATCATTATCTCTTAAACAGTGTTTTGCATACTGTGCGATTTTTGAAAAGGACACCGTCATTGAAAAGGATCGACTCATACAACTTTGGATTGCACAAGGGCTCATTAATCCTTCAAAGGATGAGATTCATTTGCAGATGGAGGACATCGGCAGTATCTATTTCGATACTCTGTTGAGCAGTTCTTTATTCCAAGATGCGGAAAAGGATATATGTGGTGACATCTATTGTTGTAAGATGCACGACCTTGTGCATGATGTGGCATCAAAAGTGTCAGAAAATTACTGTTACCGTGTGAGCAATTGGAGGGCCGTAACCAAAAGGATTGAAGCGTCGCATGTATCAATTTATTCAGGTGAAAGGGGGATGTGGAAGAACTTGCGGGAGTTTCTTCCCTTAAATCTACGAACTCTCTATCTAAAAGGTTATGAAGTAGACCTCCCTGAAGATTTATTTCAAAGCTTTACACGTCTCGCAGCCTTGGTTGTTGAGGATGGGGGGACAAACAAATTGCCAAAATCAATTGGTAAGTTGAAACATTTAAGACTTGTTGACATTGAGGGTACCGAAATAACAAAGCTCCCAATGTCCTTCACAAAGTTATACTATTTGCAGACACTGAGAGCTCACCGTTGCAGAAACATACCACAACGATTTGGTAATCTAACTAATTTGAGGCATATTTGCATAGAAGGTTTGTCTGGTTCATTGCCAGAATTAGGTCAATTGACAAATCTCCGAACAATTCCTGAATTCAGATGCAGAAGGTATAGAATAGAAGAGTTGGAACACTTGAACAATCTTAGAGGGACACTAATTATTAGTGGTCTTCATAGTGGTGATAGACAAAAATCTGCTGCAAAGTCTAACTTGTCGGAGAAGCCAGGCATTAAAATTTTAGAGCTTCACTGGGGCAAATGGAATAAAGGGGCAATCAACCATGTTGAGGTGATGGAAAGTTTAAAACCCCATCCAAATCTGAAGGTTTTGAAAATTTACAACTACGGAAACCCAAGATTTCCATCATGGATGGCGAGAGAGAATGATTTATCATCCTCACTTTGTAATCTTCTGGAACTCGAATTGAAGGATCTGGTTGAATGCGAAAGCTTGCCAGCACTTGGGAGGTTGCCTTGTCTTAAGTTATTAAAGTTAAGTAGATTATCCAAGGTGAAGCGCATAGGAGAAGAGTTCTATGGTTGGTCCAATGTTGACGGGTTAACAGATGGTGGTGGCAGTGATAGGGCCGAAGTTATTACTGTGTTTCCAGCACTGAGGGTGCTTTACATGGAGGGAATGAGAAGCCTTGAGGAGTGGTCAGATGCATGTGAAATAATTCCAACAACTCATTCGACATCATCTATGGATTCAGTTCAAGTCAAAGCATTTCCTTGTCTGGAGAAGATGAGGATATATGATGTTCCCGAGTTGAGTGCTTTTCCAAATTTGGGGGCCCTACCTAGCCTTGGAGTATTGCATATAGAGGATTGTACAAAATTGACAATATCAAATGCTGCTTACAGGGATAGAGGCGGCTTCGAGTCCATTCAAAAAATAAGAGCAGGAATTGATGAGGATGAGAAGAACCAGAGCGAGTCTGCCGATGATCATGTGGTTTCGTACATCCACCCCCAACAATACCCTTTCTATTTCCCTTCACTACAAAGACTCACTCTGTGGGATTGTGGCGAGTTGACTGCACCGCTTTGCAGCCTCGTCGGGAGTTCGGTTAAGTCCTTGACTATCAGGTGCTGTCCTAGGTTTTGGCCTAAGGATCTTCACCACCTAATTGGACTTGAGGAATTAACTCTGAAATCATGGGGATGTGAGGGTGACGAAGAACTTATGCCATGGCCCTATCCTACCATTTCAGGGGCTAGCGATCATAATTTGGTCTCCTCTCTTACATCCCTTACATTGGATGGAGGTGGATTGCCAAAAGTCAAGTCACTCCCTAGTGAGATACAGTTTTTGTCTTGTTTGACGACTTTAGGGATATGTGGGTTTGAGGGATTGGAGATTCTTCCAGAGTGGTTGGGGAATTTAACAAGTCTTCACGGTCTGAGGCTTCAAATGTGCCCAAACCTCAAGCAGTTACCATCGACAGAATTGCTGCAACGCCTGACTTACTTGGACATTACAGGTGGTGGTGAGTTGTCAAATAGATGCAAGGAAGGTAGCGGCTCAGAGTGGCACAAGATTGCTCATATTCCCCGTTTAAGAATTTTGTAAGGTATAGGAATTGAATATCTTGGAAGCGTTTATATGTATGAAAAAATAAAGACATTTTGTACTCTCTACTTGTCAAACTATGATATATAATTAAGCATAATTCTTTCAGATTATGTTTTTTTGGACATCAAAATTTGATGTATGATGCGAGGTAAGATTTAACAAAATCTCAAAGGTTCCCACAGGAATTGCTGTTGCGGGTTATATCTGTTTTATTTCTTTTTTTTTTTTTTTTTTGTGTGGTTGTAAAAAGATTAATAAATGAAGTTGAAATAACGAATATTGCTTCTCATCGCTTTAGGGTAGCCAGCTGTATATACTTTTGTTGTGGGATTGGTTGCTTTTAAGGTTTTATTTGTGCATTTTGCATGCCTGTTGTTGACTGCCAAAATTTTTACTCCGTTTGTGCGGCCATGCTGACATTTTTATTCACATCACTAATATACATCAATTATATGTGGCTACAACACTGATGAGCAGATTTTATGCATCATAAGATTCCGACTGACTTCCTTTGGAATTTAATTAGTTTCTAAGACACTGATTTCAGAGTTGTTTTGTGATGATTTTTTTTGAAACAGAAGTTTCCACTAAGATGAATCAGCAGGACAAGCATTATGGAGTTGCTTTGTGAGTTCATCTTGATTAGTTTCCATGGCATTCATTGTGTTTCACAGCCGTTATACCCGTCTTTCAGCAAAATTTAATAGAGGCCTGATGGCACGTTCCAATGCATTTACTGTGTATGTAAAGAGACATCCATCCAATGGTTGCCGTATTGGATTTGATTTCCCACATTGTGAGATTTTACTAGTTATTAAAGAGTGTATAATTTAGAAGCAGCATTAGATTGGTGTTACATTTCATCATCTTTAGTAGTACATAACTGATAATTTCTGAAGATAAGTTGCAACAGGGTCTTGTTTAATCCCCTTGTACTAAAGAGAAAGCTCAAAGGATAATCATTTTCTTCAAAGAATTTGCATCTACTGCTGCCTTTGAATCTTTCAGTCCATGACTTCCATTTATTAATCGTACCTGCAAAAAAGAGAAAACAAATAGACAGAGAAAGTTAGGAGGATCATTCTTGAATTCCAAACAAAGATTAATTAATCATCACTTGGAAGAAGAAGAGAAATGAATTTAAGGGGTTACATGAAGCAAAGTTTGCTAAGCATTTGTCAGGAAGCTGCATGGCTAAAGTCCCATCGACACCAGAAATCGGAGGACCATTAACAAGAATGCACAAACAAGGCTGGCCTAAAGCTTAGAGGGCAGAATAATTACCAAAATCAATTGGTAAGTTGAAACATTCAAGACTTCTTCACATTAAGGGCACCCAATTAGCAGAGCTCCCACTGTCCTTCACAAAGTTATACTATTTGCAGACACTAAGAGCTGGCCGTTGCAGAAACATACCAAAGGGATTTGGTAATCTTACTAATTTGAGGCATATTTGCATAGAAGTTTTGACTTGTCCATTGCAAGAATTAGGTCAATTGACAAATCTCCAAACAATTCAAGAATGCACAAAGAATAAAATAGATAGTTGGAAAACTTGAATAACCTTAGAGGGACACTAAGTATAAGTGGTCTTCATAATTTTGATAGACAAATATCTACTGCAAAGTCCCAGTTGTCCGAGAAGCCAGGCATTAAACTTTAGTGCTCGATTTGAACAGACTGAAACAAGAGTGCAGCAACGATGTTGAGGTGATGAAAGGTTTAAAACCCCATCAGAATCTGAAGGTTTTAGTAAAATTTCACTACGGACGCCCAATATTTCCGTCATGGATGGCGAGAGAGAGTGATTTATCTTCCTCTCTTAGTAATATATAGTGGAGCTCGAGCTGAACAGTCTGGTTAAATGCGAAAGCTTGCCATCACTGGGAACAACAGTGTCTGTAATAACTCACAAACTAGTAGGAAGAAAAACAACAGTTGCTAATTTAAAGGATTTATCTACAAGTCACAAGTAAAACTTACTTTCCTTTAAGCTAAATTCGCTCACTATATTGTGCAATTGTCTAGGGCAAATTCCCTACAAGATAAAATGGAAATCAAACCAAGACACAATGCACTTAGTGTATGGTTACCAAAGTAAGGATAAGAACGGTCATTAGAACTATTCTAAGTATTTGGGAAATTTTCTCTGCAGCAAAAGTCTCCCAAATGATCCATATTTACAGAGTTCTAGTGACTCTGAGGATTGAACACAACTCTTAGTTGATGTCTATCCAGACAATGAGATGACTAGACACGACTTCTAATTTGTGTGTTTTCATTTGGAATCCTTAGACACAACTCTTGAACATTTGGTATGTGTCTCCTCACGTGTATCATGAAAGTTTATAACCCTTCACAATATAGTGAAAATAATATTCCAACAATCCCTCACGATTTTCAAAATGGATCCAGAATAATTCCAGCAAAACGCATGCATAAAATAATGGTGTCGTTAGACTTGAACCACAACCTTAGTGTCGTTTTCGTAACTTATAATACAACCTGGTAGGCTAGCTTTGAACTGTGCGTACATGTTACAAGCCACTATTGACAATACACACAGGTTTCTTTCTACTCAACTTGTCTGCACCGTGCCAGTGTGTTTGGTACATAAGGTCTTATACCCATATCTCTTCATGAATGTTAACAAAGCCAAGTCCCAAGCTTTGTAGATGCTCAGTCCGACATTCATTAGGCAAACTTCTTAATGCCTCCCCCTTCCTATTTTGGCATATACAAGAGTTTGTTAAGAGCTAATTCTCAACCTGATACACAGCGGGAAAATATAGCACTATTTACTCTGCGATGAATATTTTAGCGCTCAATTACTTGTACATTGTACTATCACTCATTGAATTCAAGTATAGAGTATTTTCTAGTGTTGAATTGAGGATTCAATGAAAGTAATCATATTCTGGACTTAAGAACCATCCCAGATGATGTTCGTAACACCATTTCATTTGTCAGTCCTTTCGTCAAATGGTGATCTGCTAAATTTTCTTTAGATCTGACATAATCTATAGTAATTACTCCACTAGCTACCATTCCCTTACCAAGCTATGTCTTAATCTAAGATACCTGAATTTTTCATTATACACTTGGTTGTATACTTTCTCCAGTGTTGATAAACTATCATGGTGAATTAACACTGGTGAAACTGGTTTTGGCCACATAGGAACTTCGTATAATACATTCCTTAGCCATTTAGCTTCTTTGCTAGCTAATGCTTATGCCACAAACTCAGAAGTCATGGTGGAGTCTGTTTTACATGTTTGTTTCTTAGATCCCCAAGAAACTGCTCCTCTTCTAAAAAAAACTACCCAACCACTCATAGATGAGTGATCATCTTTGTTTGTTATCCAGCTAGCATCTGAATATCCTTCTAAGACAGGAGGATTGCCTTTGTAGCAAATTCCATAGTTTTTTGTGCCTTTTAGGTACCTAAGGATTCTTTTTACACCTTTCCAGTATTCACTACTTGGGTTATTTGTATATCGACTCATTACACCCACTGCATAAGTAATATCTGGGCAAGTACATATCATTGCATACATTAGGCATCCAATTACCTGTGCATACTCATTTTGAGATGTGGAATTCCCTTCATTCTTGACATCATGTATGTTAGAATCAACAGGAGTCGAAACCGGTTTACTATCCAAATGATTAAACCTTTTAAGAATTTTCTCAACATAGTGAGATTGCGTAAGCATGATCATATCTTACTCCCTCTTAATTCTTATTCCCAATACGACATTGGCTTCACCCATGTCTTTCATCTCAATCTTGCTAGACAACAAACTTTTGGTTTCCTCAACTTGTTGTAAGTCAATACCAAAGATTAACATGTCATCCACATACAAACATATTATGGCACATTTACCATTTGAATACTTACTGTATATGCACTTATCAGACTCATGTCTTTTGAATCCATAAGTAAGTATTACTTGGTCAAATTTTTGGTGCCATTCCTTTGGAGCTTGTTTTAAGCCATATAGTGACTTTACAAGTCGACAAAGTACAAGTTGAACACTTTGTTTTCTTGTCCTTTAACTATAAAACCTTCAGGTTGTTTTGTGTATACTTCTTCATCCAAATCACCATTCAGAAATGTTATTTTAACATCCATTTGGTGAATTACCCATTTTTGGATTGAAGCCAAGGCAAGTAAGATTCTAATTATAGCTATTCTTGCTACTAGAGAATATATACCAAAATAATCAATGCCATGTTTTTAGGTAAAACTTTTGACAACTAATATGGTTCTGAACTTTTCTATGGTTCCATCAACCTTTAGCTTTTTCTTGAAGATCCACTTGCAAGAATTAGGTTTGGATCCTGGTGGAAGATCCACTAATTCCCAAGTTCTATTTGGCATAATTGAGTCAATTTCATTATTTATGGCTTCTTTCCAAAACGAAGCATCACGAGATTTTATTGCTTCTTCAAACGTTTTGGGATCAGCCTCCGTATTATAGCAATAGGGAATTATGTCACTTCATCTCTTGTCCCTTCAACAAGATAAGTAACAAAATCTGAGCCATCGAACTTTGCCTTTCTAGCTCTTTTGCTCCTTCTTGGCTCATTGTTATCAAAGTTTTCATTGGCCTCATCGGATGTTGTCTCTATTTGTTTTCTATCAATGTCAATATTTATAGGAATTGAGGTATATCTAACTTTATCGAAGATAGCATCTCTAGATTTAATAATCGTATTGATCGAAATTGAATCATTGGAGTCTATGACCATAAATCGATAGGCCTTGATATTGTGTGCATATCCAATGAAAATGCACTCAAGACCTCTTTCTCCCAATTTCCTTTTCTTAGGTTCTGGGAGACTGATAATTGCCCAGCTGCCCCAAACTCTCAAATGTTTAAGGTTCAATTTTCTTTTAGTCCAAAGTTCATATAGGGTTATGGAGTTCCTCTTGTAGGTACTCTATTTAATGTATAACAAGCTGTCAAAAGAGTTTCATCCCAAAAACCTTGACAAAGGCCAGATTTAGACAACATAGCATTAACCACTTCTCTTAGTGTCTGATTTTTCCTTTCAGCTACACCATTTTGTTCTGGCATGTATGGAGCAGTTACTTCATGCCTTATACCAGTAGACTCAAAAAATTCTTTTTGATAATATTCACCACCTCAATCGATTCTTAAACATTTAATCATATAATTGCACGCAAGTTCAACTTCAGAGTTATGCACTTAGAACATTTGCATAACTTGATCTTTTGAATGTAATAAATATACACAATAATATCTAGTGCAATCATCAATGAAAGTTGCAAAATACTTATTTCCTTCTAATGAAAGAGTTGCATGCAAATCACATATACCACTATGAATCAAATCCAATTTACTTTATTTCCTTTCAATACTTGGAAATAGACTTCTAATGATTTTAGTTAGCATGTAAGTTCTACACTTTTGATTATCATTTCCATTCAATTTGGGTAAGAAGTCATGTTTTTCCCATTTCATGTATTTTCCTTTAATTAACATGTCCAAGTCTATTAGGCCATAAGATAGAAGAAGACTCAAGCAAGTAAACAAAAGAACCATTCATATTCATCTTATTAGTAGACATGACATTCAGTTTGAACATGACATTACAATAGTAGCTTTTTCCTATAAACATAGCCCCCCTTGGACAATACATACTTATCAGCCTCTATGACTGACTTAAATCCAAACTCATTCAATAGCCTAGCCGAGACAAGATTTTTCTTGACTTTGGGTACAAACAAGACATTAGTCAAAGTTACAATCTGACTCGAAGTAAATTTCAGATCTACATCGCCCATACCTATAATAGGAACAGTGGCATCATTTCCCATGTATACAACAGAGTTTTTATCTTTCACTTCCTTAAAGTTCTTGAAAAACTCTTCGTTGATGCACACATGGCGAGTGGCATCATAATCCACCCACCAATCAAAGTCTTCGCCAATAGTGTTGATCTCGAAAATCATTGCAATAAGACTTTTACCATCATTTTTTGAAGAGTTAGAATTGCCTCCCTTAAGAAGTCTTGAAAAACTCTTCGTTGATGCACACATGGCGAGTGGCATCATAATCCACCCACCAATCAAAGTCTTCGCCAATAGTGTTGATCTCGAAAATCATTGCAATAAGACTTTTACCATCATTTTTTGAAGAGTTAGAATTGCCTCCCTTAAGAAGTCGACACTCATTTTTTAAGTGTCCCTCCTTTTTGGCAGTGGATGCATTTTTCTATCTTTCTCTTCTTGTTGGATTGGCTCTTTGAAATGTCGGACCTTTTCTTGTCCTTGGTAGATTGCCCCACTTCAACCATATTTACTTTAGAGGCCGGAATTTTATCCGTATCATCCTCTTTTGGTTGAGTATCCTTAATTTCCTACAATCACACTCCTCTTCAATACGAAGAGAGTTAGTCAGACTTTCAAAATTTATCTCATCCTTTTTGTGTTTGAGATCTCTCTTGAAGTATTTCCAAGAAGGGGGCAATTTTTCAAAGATAGAACTTACAACAAAAGTCTCATCCATATGCATATGTTGAGTAAAACGATTAAGAATTCTCTCAATTTCAGCAAATTGTTCGATGACATGCCTCGTATTTACCATCTTGTAATTAAGAAAATTAGAGACAAGAAATTTCTTACTTGAAGCGCTTCTTGCATGTACCTTGCCTCAACTTTCTCTCGAAGTTCTTTGCAGGTTGAATTGAGTAGAACACATCAAAGAGGCTATCATTCATAGCATTTAGAATGTGACCCCTGCACACTTCATTATCAGTTTTCCACTTCTGAGCCTTGCAAATATCCTCCACAGAACCTTCATCTTCATCTACGATGGGCCTTATAATGGTAAGAACATATGCAACCTTTAGAGCCACCAAAAGAAAGTGAACTCGTTTTTGCTAACGAATGAAGTTTCTTCTATCAAAGAGGTCTAACTTCATAATATTAGATTCTAGTTCTTTTCTAGTGCTTGTCATTGGACAACAGAATTTAGCCTAAAGAATGTTGGAATTTTATTACAAAAGAATAAACAATAATGGCTGCACTAACTCACAAACTAGTAGGAAGAAAAACAACACTTGCTAAATGTAAAGGATTTTTCTCCATGTCACAAGTAAAACTTGCTTTTCTTTAGGCTAAATTCGCCCACTATATTGTGCAATGTCTAGGCAAATTCCCTACGAGATAAAATGGAGATCAAATTAAGACACTATGCACTTAGTGTTTGGTTACCAAAGCAAGGATAAGAATGGTCATTAGAACTATCTTATGTATTTGAAAAAATAATTTTGCAGCAAAAACCTCTCAAATGATCCATATTTATAGAGTTCTAGTGACTCTTAGGATTAATCACAACTCTTAGTTGGTGTCCCTCTAGACTTTGGGATGATTAGACACGATTTCTAATATGTGTCTTTTCATTTGGAATTCTTAGACACAACCCTTGAACATTTGGTATATATCTCCTCACGTGTATCATGAAAGTTTATAACCTTTCACAATTTATTGAAAATAATATTCCAACACCTTGTCTTAAGTATCTGAAGTTAATTAGATTGCCCAACGCATAGGAGATGAGTTCTATGGCTGGTCAAATGTTGATGTTTGATGAAAATCCCAATTTATGTTTGTCCCACATCGGTACCATGAGAGACTTTGTATCAATATATAAGCTCCATGGGTTGGTCCCTTAAATTGTTTCTATACGATATCAGAGAGGGCTCAGCCTGTAGTGAATCTTAGTCCGCGATGTTATTCAGCGGCCGTGATGTTATTCCACGGTTATTTTCCTGACCCAGTAGTGTATCTGGTAATTTAGTCCAAACTCGTAGGGTTTGAGGGGGAGTGATGAAAATTCCAATTTATGTTTGTCACAATCTGATCCAGCAATGTATCTGGTGATTTAGTCCAAACTCATAGGGTTTGAGGGGGAGTGATGAAAATTCCAATTTATGTTCTGGTGATTTAGTCCAAACTCATAGGGTTTGAAGGGGAGTGATGAAAATTCCAATTTATGTTTGTCACATTTTGATATCGTGAGAGATTTTATACCAATATATAAGGTTTATGGGTTATTCTCCTCAATACCAATTGGTTTTGAGGTGGAACCTCATAGGCTTCTATAGAGTTAACCAAAAGGGTCACTACGAATTGTGGTCGTACTCGGGGAATTTTTACTACTCTGTTTCCAGCACTAAGGGTGCTTCACATGCAACATATGGAAAGTCTTGAGGAGTGGTTAGATGTATGTGAAATAATCACAACAGCTCATTCGACATCATCTAAGACACTGATTTTGTTAGTTTCGCTTACTCAGTAATGGTAATGCGGTTGTGAAATCTTTCGACTCCGGAACCTAACAATGTTCTGTGATTTCGCAAATAGAGTTACGGGGGATATTTCTAAAGAATTCATCCTTCAATAGCGGGGTTGGGTTTTTTTTTTTTTTTTTTGGTTCAAAATCAAAAATAACAATCATAGCTTTCTATATCTTTAATATCTTCTTTTCGCTTTTCATTGTGATTTATATTCAGTAGAACTGCTTCATCCCACGAGCGTAATGTATATTTGTTTGTGATGATTTTTGAAACAGATGTTTTCACTAAGAAGAAACAACGGGATCACAAGCATTATGGAGTTACATTGTGTGTTTTTCGTTGATTAGTTTCCATGGTATTCAGTCCGTTTCACTGCCGCTATTAACGCATTTTTTGTTTACGTAACGAGATTTCCATCCAATAGTTGAATGTATTGGATTTGTTTATGTAAATTGAATGAACATGCGGAATGATGAAATCGAATTCTGCAGAAGTTTACCAATTTAGAAGCTGCAGTAGAGTAACATTTCATCATCTTTATTAGTACATTATTGAAAATTTTTTAAGATAAGTTGCACCAGGAACTTGTTTAATCTACTTGTACTAAAGAGAAAGCTCAAAGGATGATCCTTTTCTTTATAGTATTTGCATCTACTTCTGCCTTGAATCTTTCTGCCCATGACTTTCATTTGTTCATCGCACCTGCAAAATAGACAAAACAAACAAACTGACAAAGTTAGGAGGATCATTCTTGAATGCCAAACAAAATTAGTTAATCATCACTTGGAAGAAGAGAAATCAATTTAAGGGGTTACATGGAGCAAAGTTTGCTAAGCATTTATCAGGAAGCTGCATGGCTAAAGTCCGATCGACACCAGAAATCGGAGGACCATTGACAAGGATGCACAAACAAGGCTGGCCTAAAGCTTTGAGAGCAGCACAGCAAGCTTCAGTTGGTAGGGAAGGACTGAATGGAGAAACTGCAGCTCTACAAGGGATCATCTGAACAAGTGCTGAGAAGAATGTGCTTCCACAAGCATGTTCTTGTGTTTCTTGTACTAAACCAGCCATTATCACCATGATTAGCAGACAAATTGCCGCACCATTTCTTTGTTTACGATGATCCATATCTTTTTTCTTTGTCTAACAGCAAAAAGAAACACAAGAGTACCGAGTATAAGGTGTGAACGAGCTCTGTATATGGATATGAATAATGATTCATATAGAGGGATACTGATTAATAGAATTTTGAGTGCAAATTGTGCTTCTTTCCTAACTAATGAGTCACACTTTTATTCCAGCTAGTTGTTAGCCAACGTTTGTGTTGAGTTTGAAGCTTGAAGTCCTGAACTGAAGCAAGCACATTTTTCTTGTTTCATACTTGTCCATGACTCGTTTCGGACATGATATTTTTTCTGCCTACGAATTTGGGAAACAATGACAACAGTAATAACCAACAGCCATAGAATTAATTTGCAGAAAGCTAGAGGTTTGGTTTCCCGTCTACTTTACTTTGTTTTCTTTTAGTGTTAATTCAAGTCATGTTATTCGAATAAAACGGCAAACTTGTAAACTTAGAAAATTCCAAGTTTCGCACTCTACGCAGACAATACATAAATAACAGATGAATGAGAAAATTATTTGATCCTTAAATCAGTCTTTACAGGTTCTAATTCCATTCCCCAAATTGATGTCAATTGAGGTATACAGGAACTTAAAGTCAGAAGATTATGGCTTTCTTCAGAGGACAAATACAAATAATTCAGACAAGGAAGTTTCTCAAAGCTCTCCTTTGCTTCCTTTAAGATTGATAACGGCAAGTTCTTTCTCTACAAATTCACCAGCACAAATGGGAGGATACTTGTCAACATCAGGAGACGCGGCAAAGTGGCCTAAGGGCTTTAACTCTGCATCTGATGCAATATGTGCAAACAGCTGATGGAAGAGAGTCATGTGAGTTACAACTCTGGCAGTCAGCCTCATTTACAGTGGTAACCTTAAATTAAAATGCCAAACAACATTGAAAGAAGAGAAAGAGAAATTAGTAGTACCGTTGAGGAAACTCTCCAGAGACTACGATTTTGCGCTTTAGCTAATTTTATTGCATCCATCGTCTTATTAGTTACAACAACTTCATGCATTCCAGCTATACAGTCTCCAGCAGTCAACCACTCTATCTGCAGCAGTGAAATTTTACACAATTACAATACACTATAAAAAATAAAAAATGAAAAAGTAAATAAATAAACCATACACACACACACCCACACAAACACACGATAGAACATTACTAAGGCAGAGCAAAACAAGCAGCACTTCACATTACAGGATAACAATTTTTTATTACAAACCCAGGGTCAAACACAGCCATATTTAAGACAGAGAACAGGTTCCGTTCAGAGTATGTTGAAATGCAAACATAATTAAACTGTTTTATGTATAATAGACAAGCTTTTCTCGGATTATTAGCTACCACAGTGTCATTGACAAGCTCACCTGTTTTCCAGTCTGTATGAGAAGACATCCCACAGGAACTTTTACCCCCAGTTTTTGTCCATTTCTCAACCAAATGTTTAAACCAGGGAATCTGCTCCGGCCATGGATAGTAAGAAAGTTTAGGTCATAGTGGTATCCAGCGAAAACTGTGCCCTCTTGTCCATGACGCTGAAGATCACTTCCTGTTGGTGCAAGCAGATGAGGTCCCTGGAATCCCCAAACGCCAAGTACTCATTACAGATCATAAAAAGGGTTGAAATTCGATACAAGGAAAAGGAATGTATCACACAAAAGCAAAGTGAAAATGTTTTTATTTCCTAAAACTCCGGAAAGGTCAATAGAGTCCCTAAATTTTAAGACCAACAACAGAGGACTTTGGTTTGCATCATACAGATGCAAAAGATATCACATTATTGAAGTTCAAATTATTGATGCTGACTTCGAAGACGGGTCAAATAGCATACTTGGTATGTTTAAATATTGTGTTCGGCGCAAAACTAATTTAGTTATAGGGAATTGGACAATAACTTGTTGAATGAAAATAAGGGATCCATCAGAGGTGCATAAAGATGTGAAACAGGGAAAAATGGATATTTTGCTACTTGCTGAACACCACACACTCCCCCAACAACAAAAAAAAAGGGAAAAAAAAGAACATGTCACACAGGAAAGGAACACGGAATGCGGAAAGATCTGATTTTGGATTGAATGTATGCTAGCTTGACCTTAGACAAAAATCCATAAACTCGATTTTATCTTTTAAAATATGGGTCAACAACAATACTTTAATCTCTTGATCACGATGTCGTATGGTTCACGGAGCAAACACTTTCTTTCAAAACCAAAGTTAATCAAGAATGAAAATTAAATGTAATTACAGCCTCCAAAGTGACAATAATGAGGCTTAAACTGAAATCATTATAGCACTGATCAGTAGGCACATCGCGATCACAATTTTTGGAGTGGGCTATAAAACCAGTATAGCATTACCTGCTTCATAAGAGAAGTAAATGCATCTTTCTGCAAGCCAAATCCTATAGCTGCCATCTCGGCTACAACCTGCAAAATGAAACAGTTACCTTTAAATGTAACTCCAACAAAACAAAAAGAAAAGGTGTAATTATGATAGCAGACCTCAATTGCAGAAATCATTTTGTGTCCCCAAGAATCCATAGTTTCTTGCCACTCGGGGAACCCTTCGGGTATCACAGGCTCAGCATTTAGCTCCTACACAGAAGGAACCAACCATTCAGGACTAGAGCTCACATTTTGAATCTTCAAGAGAAAAAAAAAAATAAAAAATAGCACAACCTTAAATCGGGTATTCTGTGGCCGAGGACCAACTCTCCACATGTATCGCCATTTGGGGTCCGGCCCGGAGGGAGTAGCTGGTTGGAACTCTTTAGGCATGGCTCTTAGCTTCCCTTGCATGTCTTCATCGACTAGACTACGAGGTACTTCGACACCTTCAGGAGTTACTCCAACCTGTGCAAACAAATGTGTTCACATGAAATGTTTACAGCTGAAGGGACAACCAGTCTGATAGACAAACAATTGACAAATAGGACTACATCTCTCAGATCATTGAACCCATAAATACATTGTGTATAAAGGCTGGCCCCATAGACTTTCTTAGTACTTATAACAAGTGAGAATGACACCGAATCTTCAACAAAGTACACTAGCAAGTCCTTCTTGAACTGCAATTTCTTGGAAGAAATAGCTGAAATCATAAAATTTTACACCATCACTATCTTTTCACACCCGTGGGAAACTAGGCCACTAATGTACACAACTTTCAAACAGACAAGTATGAGATGCTCCTGTTGAAATTCAACACAACTTTAACCAAAAATAAAATCCTTTTTCTAGATTTTAAGTCTACAATACAACACTTTTATTCCCAACTTGGCAATAAAACCAGAACAGTAAGGAATGCCTAAAGTTTTAGCAGAAAAAGGGATTTAAAAAATAATGACACCCAAAAACAAAAAAATAAAAAATAAAAAAATCAGCTGGCCAAAGTTACAGGTTCCAGAGAAGTATGAATCACGGAAACACGAGTTTGTATTCATCAAGCAACCTCTATTGATCCAGAACCAGAAGATATACAAACAATTATCAGAAACTCCCATTGACTCCAGAGAATTATATATCACTAATTTTAATAAAAGAAGAAAAAAAATCACTGAAATGAATACTCAAATCAGATAATAAATCTAATAAATGAATCATGAAAATTGAACAATAATAATCTAACGAAAACAAAAAACGGGAAAAAAAAAAATTACCTGGTAATGCAGATGAGGGCGTTCTTGAAGGCGCTTGAATTCGAGAGATTTCTCAAAATATTTCTCCATCATATCCAAGAACAAATCGTTGTCTCTGGCGGAGCATCTCGGGTCTTTGACCAGTAATGCTCCGGTTTCTCTTAGGGTCCGGCTAACCTCCTGGCACAGTGCCTTCAGTTGAGGATCCAACCGGGTCGTAAAATCCGATTCAGGTTCCGAACCGGCGGACGAGATTTCCAGGTACGGAGCCAAATCAATCACCGGTAGCTCCATTGCCGGAGTGGGAGAAAGGGTAGCGATGGAATTTCGACGGATACTACTTTTGTGAGCTTGGACTGTAAAGTGATGGCGGGAGAATGTATAATTGTTGTAGATATTGAGGGATTTGATTTTGATTTATTTACAGAGAAGACTGTTTGGTGGGTGCAAATTAATTAAATTAAGGTATAGTATATGCTGTTAACAATAACTTTCTGGATTTGAAGATATTTTCCATACTACTTTCATTTTACATAAATGCAAAACCATAAATATCAAAATTTTGTTGCCGGTATACATCTTACTTCTCTCAACCTAAAAATTAGAGTTGCTGTAAAACAATATTTAGAAATGATCGGCATTTGTACAAAGTAGTAATGTTAAAAAATTTGGAATGGACAAGAGAAGAGTAAGAACGTTCAACCGGTAATTTGATGTCTTTCCACATATTGTAATTGGTTGTTGTTAGTTTTTGCTTTTTTTATAATATCGAGACTGTTTGATCGAAAGATTAAAGAATTGAATTTTTTTTTATTACACGGTGAATTTTAGTTTTAAAAAGTGATTTGAGTTTTAGTGGAATTATTATAACCAATGCGGTTTACTTTAAAAAGTTCTTTAAGAAATGGCAATTTATAAATACAGAGCTATTTTGTTAGACTAGTTTACTTGGTGTCGCGCGTTTCAGTTCTTATTATGCATTGCATTGTAGATTTCTTATTTGCATTGCATTGTAGATTAATTCTAATATTGTAAATTTTTTAGTTAGTAAATGATGACGATCGTGTATTTGTTGTTTGTTGTAATTTATAAATTGTCATGAACTTTAGAATCGAGTGTTTGAGAAAGAACAAAGTGATATTTAGCAGATTAGAGTATTGGCAAAATTTTTAGCCTTGTGAACCATGAGTGATAAAGCTAACAGGATCTAATAAACCCAAATCAAGCAAACTATAATAAACCTACCATTTTTTCATTGCCAAAGTACAAGCTGAAGCAGTTGCTGCCCTTGGTATTGCTTTATCTGAAAATGAGCTCAAGACCTATGTAGTTCTGATTTTCTCACGACAATCAAAATTCTGTAAATAACAAGATTTCCAAATAAGGCTTCCAATCTCTACCAAGTAGTATCTTCAATAACTAATTACAATCTCTTCACGATTTTCGATTTGGATTGTAGTATGAGCATGAGGTGGTGCCACCCTTTTGGAATTCTTTGACGTCCCCAGAGGCGGCAATGTCCCGTGTTTCAACTGGTCGAGATTTTCCTTGAATACCCTCGCGAGCATATCTGGCCATTCGTTCGGTTTGACGTATTTTGATCTCTGGCCAGTGAGGTTTGGCATGAACATATTCCTTGTATGGATATGGAAAATACAGGATTTCCAATCCTAGAAGGAAAAGAGATACTCAATTTTAAGTGAATAAACAGAATTTCATACTCGATCTCATAGATATATATAGAATTCTGCAGATATATATAGAATTCTGCAGAAAGTCGTATTCGATGAAAGTCGAATGTACAATTTGAAGGGAGATCTTTCATATCTGTCGAGATCCACCGCAAAAAGACAAAATAAGTGAATGGAAAAGAAAACGGATATTTTTGAAATCCCTTTCCCGCTTTTCGAATGAAAAACGACTCATCCAGAAAATGGATATCTGGTTCGAGATCCCTTTCCTACTAGGATTGGAAACCATGTATTTTCCATATCCATACGAGGAATATTTTCATGCCAGATCATGCCATATCCTGTATTTTCCCTTTCCTGTCAGAGTGAGGAATATGCTGGGCTTGCATATTTTTGGACAACGGACATGACGTCCTGAGACTTATTTTCCCAACATGTGTTTTCCTGAACCCCAAACAAATGTTTCATGGCAACTTTAAAACTACTTTCAAACCCAAATGAAAATCGGTCCACAGATCCATAAAATTTTGGCACAAACTTTGATAAACAAAGAACTTTTCTGCAGCAAGAAATAGATCTAAATGACACCATATCATGAAAATCAAGGCTACACCAATACAGTGTCTTCAAAATGAAAACTAGAATTTTGCCGAAATCGAAAAGCTAAGCATACTAATCTGAAAATCTTGCATAATTCACCCATATAACTTCAACAATTCACCAATGTAATCTTTCACTCATCTTTCATAACAGCAACCTTTAATTGAATGGAGACCACTAATTCTGTACCTAACTCAATTGGAACTGCAAGAACAGGCGTTAGAAAACTTCAACTTCTGCCAAAGAGTTAAAAAGATTTTAAAGATTTTGGAAACAATTTCAAACCTAGAACAGTCTTAGAACTTCTCAATCTCAAGTTACTTTCCATTTCCTACTTTCTGGTTGTCTAATACTCTAGGTTTAACCATTCCAAGCACAGTAGGAAGAAGCTACTAAAACTTGACGGATGATGAAAGCACAAATAATCCAAAAAGATACTGCACAAGGAAAAAAAATTACCAGAATTTACTGAAATAATAGAACCATTTGCACATTATTAATTGTACCACAACATCAACTTAAATAACAAATCACCAGCCCCTATGATCATTAAACCCTATTTCTAGCATGCCAAGGTTCTTCTTGATCAAAACTCATAAGATTCTACATAGAATCAGCACACTTACATCACGGTTTCCCTTAAAGTTCCATTGAATCTTGAACTCAGTTAATTGCATCTAATCCGTACGTACATATACCAAAACAAAAAAAATTAAATTAATACCATATGACAGTATCCCTTCCCAGGATTTGGCATAAATAAGAGACTCAGAAACGCAAGAAGTTAATTGTAAAAAAACTAAAGGTGAGAACTGACTAACCTTCGAGCATAAAACCAGAGGCAATGTCCTTGTTATTGTAATATTTAATATATTTCCTATAATTTCCTTGTTTAGGGTTTGTTATTGTCTACATATAGTCTGTATATTGTACATAACGTTACATGAATGAAATACAATTTCCCTATTCTAACTTGGTTCAGAGCTAGGGTTTTTTTTTTCTTTCTTTCGGTCGTGAGTTCTTTTTCTCCACCATCGCCCAAAATCCGTGGCTTTTAGCCGACGTGCACTTTCTTCTCCTCTTTTAATTCCGTTCCGTCGTCGGTTGCATCCTCTGTGCTGCTGCCGTCGTCGTTTCGTCTACTTCCTGCTGCCGCTGCTGTTTTCTATTACTGCTGTTGTTTTCTGCTGCCGCTGCCGCTGCTCCTCTTTCAGTCCGCTGCCGCTGCTGCTGCCGGTCCCGTCTTCCTCTGTCTGCCACAGCCGCTACTGCCGGCGTGTGATTAATTCCTGCTGCCTGCCGCCACGTTTTCCCCTGCTGCCGGCGTGTGCTGCATATTGTACCATCCACCGTGTTGCTGCTTCTGCCGGCGTGTTGCTGCTTCTATACCATCCACCCGTGTTGCTGCTTCTACCATCCACCCGTCCCTGCTGCCGCCGCCTGCTGCTCTTTGTTCTCGGTGTTGGTATTTTTTAAAAAAAAAAAACAAACAAACAAAAAGGTGACTTGTCGGGGCTGTACAACGCCGGGCGGCAGCATGGACAGCTCTTCAGCAGGGTTTCGGCACTCTTTCTTATGCTCAACAGACCCAGCTTGTTATGGAGCTCCACAGCTTGCAAAAAGGTGACTTGTCGGTCACGGCTCTCCTCTCCAAAGTGAAGGGTATTGCAGATACACTGCAGCTTGCTGGCCATCGCCTATCTCCAGCGGAGTTCAATGCCATAATCTTCCGCAAGCTTGGTGTCAAATTCAATGGCCTCATCGGAGCTTTGCAGCACCGATCCAAAACCCCCTCCTATCAAGATTTCCTTGGACAGTTAGTTTCGTATGAGGTGCTTCTTCACACCCAACAACCGGTTCTTCAGCCGACGGTCATGCTTGTGCAGTCGCCACCTTCTCCTACGCCGCCTCAATCCTCTCGTGCTGGTCGCTCGCAACGGGGTGGCCAGCGCAATCAGTTTTCTGGTCGTGGTGGTGGTCGGCGTGGGTACACCCCTCGCGCGCCGGGTGAGACGTGTCAGCTTTGCGGCATCTTGAATCACACGGCCGCCACTTGCCGACGCCTTTTTGATGCTAATTTTGTTCCTCGACACCCTGCCATTCGGTCAGCTGCTTATGCCAAGGCATTTTCTCCTACACAGCATTCGGCTGATTTGTTGCCTCCTCCGCCTTACCCGGAGTCGACTATGCCTCCTCAAGCCCATATGGCGCAGTATACCCCTCCTATCACTCCCTAGCATCCGGACACTGGTGCTACCGATCATGTCACGCCAGATTTGTCTTCTCTCAGTATCTCCAATGATTATAATGGTACGGATCATATCTTAGTTGGTAATGGTGATGCTTTACCTATTCAGCATGTTGGTCAATCTGTTTTGCCATCGGTTTCTCGTCCTCTTTATTTAAATCGTGTTTTGCATGCTCCTTCTCTCACTAAACATCTGTTATCAATTTACCCGTGATAATCACTGTTTCTTTGAATTTTATTCTGACTCTTGTTGTGTTAAGGATCTTTCAACCAAGGAACTCCTCCTCCGCGGTCGGGCTGATAATGGTCTCTATCGCTTGGATCTTCCTGCTCGTGGTTCCTTGTCTCAAGGTCAATGGCATGATCGTTTAGGTCAATCGCTTGGATCTTCCTGCTCGTGGTTCCTTGTCTCGTGGTTCCTTATCTTATCTCTCTAGGTCAATGGCATGATCGTTTAGGGCACCCTAATAATGTCACTCTTCGTACTTTGGTTAGGCAGTTTCAACTCCCTCATTCCTTTGTGTCCATGTCTACTGATAAATGTGAGGCGTGTTGTTTAGGGAAGTTGCATAGGGTTAGTTTACCTTCTACTTTTCATCGTAGCTCTAAACCTCTTGATTTAATTCACACTGATGTTTGGGGCCCTGCTCCTATTTTTTCATTCAATGGTTATCGCTACTTTGTGCTTTTTATTGATGATTTCTCTTTATTCACATGGATTTATCCCATCAAGTATAAAAGTGATGTTTTCCATG